TAATTAAAAATAATTTTTTAATTATTTTAAATACATTTTTATCTTCCGGAAATTATTTTTTTAATATTTTCGAATTCTGAAAATAAAAAATATACATATAATAATTAAAAAAATAAATTTAAATTAAAATTACTAATTAAAGATAAATTAAAAAACAAATAATCTCAGCCGTCCATTTAAAAAAAATCGTGGTAGTCAAAAGTCATAAGACTACACTAGAATTTTCAAACAACAAAGGTCTGTCCAGGCCTATTCAAATCTTCAATTCTTCGTGGCTTAATATTCGAAAGAACAATTAGGTCCCCTGGCTCTGGCTCATAATGTCCTCCATTGTTCTTGAAATCATTGTCAAAATGTTGTAATAAAACTCCTTAGAAGGCTTATAATTTTTAGAAAACTCGATACATGATACCTCGCAAGCAGGGGCATTGCTGCCTACTGACTCCATTCCTGAGCATAAACTCGCTCGAGTTTCCTCCACAAGTGGGGTTTTTATTTGAATGCATTTGTATACTGAGTAGTTGATGAAAACACCTTTTGAATGCGTTTCACCTGTTCAGATCATAAATATTTCTATACGTTTGATTCCTCCGAAATGCTAGAGTATCAATCTTAAACCAAAACTTATAAACTGTAAATTGATAATCAACATAAACACTTGTCAAAGAAACTGGAATTAATCAAAATGTCACACAACTGACACAAGAGTTACAGGACAAATAGTTATCAGGAACGAAATTTTTAAAACCCATATTTAAAATTCCTAGACCTGTCATTAGACACATACCAAAACAAAAAAAAAAAAATGTAACAAGCATATGAGTATATCAATAACTTGTATAATAATTTTTGTAATGAGAGGATATGATGGAGTAGAATGGTACCTTATCCTTGTAAAAATTCTTGTTAAGCACGTCTCGAAAAGACCAAGAAAGCACCAAATCTAGTAAACCTGTGCTAGCCCCTTCCCATTTGTTTTGGCTATTAGAATTCTCCAGGGTAAACCTATAAAATATTGATCACTGCGGAAATCACTCTTGACTGAGGAGTTTCACATAATCCCACACGGAGCACTCCTTCTGTCCCTATTTTTTTTGTCCCATTTGACTTTTTACGGTCTCCAAGACGCATCTTAAAACATATATAATCCCATTTCTATATGCATAAAATTATAAACTTGATTTTAATAAAAATATATACTGAGACGAATCCAACAAGATTTCACTTGACTATATAGATTAATGAGATTTTACGGTCAAAATTAAAGTTAGACGTAATTATTTGCAATGGGGCAAAAAAACAGGGACATAGAGAGTAATAATTAAGTGGACCCTACAATACATGCGTAAAAACTGATTTAATTTATTGTCATCATTAGGTTAAAAATAAAGTAATTAAGTTGTATTTATTATTCTTCAAAAAAAAAATGTATTTGAGTCCTGTTTACTTCTTCTTTTTTTTGCTAAGCTGGATTTTTTTTACTAAATTGATTTTATTTTTGCTGAAATTAAATTAATTTACAGAACTAAAAATATTTTTACTAATTAAAACTTATTTTTACAAAATCTCTAATTTTTAATGAAGTGAAATTAATTTTGCTAATTGAATATTATTATTACAAGGTTGAAGATAACAAGGCCTTAGTCGAAATTAACTTTCTTCCCTAAAATCGGTCGATCTTACAATGTCACCTTACATAAAAAAAAGTCAACTACAAGTATGTATTATGTGACCTTATCCATATCCACAAAAATATGTGTCCAAGTATTCGACTCTGTATTATGTGAAATTTTCCATAATTTGAACTAAAACAAAGTGTCTAAGTAAAAAAGAGAGGTGCTTTTAGGGATTGTTTAGTTCACTTTATTTTTTGCTTATCTGATCTAGACTGGTCTGGTCTGATCTGACCTCATATGATATGATTTGACTAAACTTTGACATATGTGTACGATAATCTATAAAGAAGGAATATATCAAATGGGGTCTTGTTAAATTCGTATTAACGTCTATATTATTAATATGTAATTCTTATAATTTTTTTCATTACGAAATTAAAATATATAGCGATAATAAACAACACATAAAACGATGATGTGATCTAAAATTATTTTTTCCGTATATAACTAAAAAGAAGTTAAACTAAACAAAACCTTAGACAAAGCATAAAGTGTACTCCAGAATTTCCTTAATAACTTAATATAGAGTATATTATACTTAATGTTATATAATATATGTATTCAGTGGATGCCCATTCCCTTATGATAATTCTAGGATATTCTAGATATATTATGTTTATTATTTTACAAGGAAACCCTAATTGTATCACATGTATATTTATATATATGTACTCCTATATCATTGAATAAGAAGAATATAGATCTATTCTCTCTCCTATCTCCTATTTTTCTTCTCCTTGATTTCATAACACTCAACAACTTAATATACTTTAAAAATAAATAAATAAATAAATAAATTAAATAAATAAATAAAAATAGCCCATCCTTGCCGGATGGCAATTTGCACATCAGCTAGCTGAAGGCAATCGAAATCAATATTGACACAAGCTACCTATCTATAGCAGATAGGTAACCTTTTGACGTAGAAAATCATAATTAAACTTAATTATTTTTCCTATTTGTATCAATGTGGGATTACAACTTATTGTATTGGTATGCCAAAACTAACTCCACTTCTATTATCATCAATAATTGTAGCAATAACATCTATTAACATCCCCGTCAAAAAAAAAACATAGTAGCCATAACTTTTATCAATTATGCAATTTTTATTACCTAATTTATTGGTGGTTGAACTTATGTAATGAACTAATGATACAAATACCCAATTGACACGAACACAATTTAAATACCATTTTTTGAAAAAAAAAAAAATAAGTAATAAGAAATCATTAAACATAACGTGGGGAAAAAACTTAATTGTGTGAACCTGATTTGGACTAATATAAATTTGAAATTTCATATGTGACTGGTCACACCGTGTGGTCGGGGTTAGTTGGCCAGGGTTTACTCGGTTGATCAGGGCTTACTTAATCAGGGGTTACTCAATTAGGGGTTACTTGGTAAGGGACTACTCGTTCAGTTAGGGATTACTCGTTCAGTTAGGGATTACTCGTTCAGTTAGGGGTTATTCAGTCGGTCAGGGATTACTCATTTAGGGGTAACTCGAACAAACAGGGATTAATCGGTCAGGGGTTACCTAATTAGTGTTTTGGTGTATATTAGCCAGCCACATAGAAAACGCATTATAATATTATTGTGGACCTAAGGTTTTCACACGCCAAGCTGACATTATATTAAATATAGTTACCCTAATTCTAACACAGTAACCGTTATTAAAACTTATGTGGATCTCATGTCTTTCATAATGTAAGGAATAGCTCAAGTTGTTAGAGCATATAAAAGCTTTCATTAATTATAAAATATATTAATCTTTTTATTGACCTTTATTAGTTTATTATAACCCAATAACTATTACATTAACATAGTACCTTTTCGTTAATATAATGACCTTAATGTTTAGATAGCAACATTAAAGCAAGGTAGTGACCCTAATATTAGTGAATTACAATTAATTAGTGTAAACCATAACTATTTAAGAGTTTGTAACACCTATATACTCTGCAGCTTGTAGGTGATCGATGAGATAGTGTAATTACTCCCTTTGCATTTTTTTTTTATATAAAATGCATTAATTTGAGAGGTACATTTATCGAGACGTAACTTTGACCATTTAATATCTTAAATTGTTATTTACTCCGTAGTAAAAATTTCAACAAACTTGAATAATGAAATTGCAACAATAAACTCTAGCTGATAGGATGCCCAAGACTGAAAACATATTAGCTTTAAACTCCTATCAATAGTACAAGTCACCTTAGTCTGATCATAGATTCATAGTTACTACGGAGTAGTTCTCATACTCGGGCAAATAGTTGTATGAATCTTTCTTGATCAATTTCCTGGGCTTCAGTACACATGGATTGGTATCGTATCGCCTAATTCCATTCGGCAACATGAGTGAACGCTTCACTTGAGTTGAAAGTGTTGCAGCTCCATTCATGGTTAAGGGTATACTATACTGACATCCATTGGTTGGCCAATAACGAACCGTTCTTTTAGGACGCATAGAAATGTCGAGAACAAAGCTCTTATGCAGCAGCCATACATTGCTAAAGGTTAGGAGGTCGGAGTGAGCTTTGGAGAATAGATTGTTGGAAAAGGGAGAAAATGTGAGGTACTTAATAATTTTCAAACCAAAAAATTAATACAAGGGCCAAGATTGATTATGGGCCATTAAGCCTTCTCACCAAAAAACGAATACTGGCATTTATGGATAACTTATTAGTATAACTTACTCGTATTAAAAGTTTTACTCATAACATCTATGGATAACAGTGCATCTTGGCCTTCAGAATCCAGCCTACAACCATACCACTTAATTCATTTATGGTTGGATTAATTGGATCTTTTATCTCAGTAAGCTTGACAGCAGTACTTTTTTAGTTATTACTCCCTATTACATATGCAGGACCTCTACAACCGCAATCCGGAGCGCTACAGATACCAATCTTGACTCCACAGAAGTCTATCAGGGTTTTCGATGAATGTGGAGATCAAACTCAGGATCCCATTATTGGTTGACATACATATTAGAACAAGGTACCCAATCTTCGAGGCTGCTGGAAGAGCAGATTCGAGGAAGCATGCCGATGGCGTTAATCATGGAAACAGAGGTAACAATAGTAAAGTGCCGTGCTTACTGCACTGGCCAAAGCGCTAGATGTAACAGTAATGAATTATCTCCACATTGATATTGCAACTTGGAATCAGAGACTGAGGAACCTGCTCCAGCAGGAAACTGGCTTCAGAGGAACCTGATTTAGAGGAGGAGCCAATCCATATTTCCACTTAATTAAATGTTTCTCTTGTCCCCAACCCCTTAGAGAAGTTACAGGTATTCATGAGAGAAAAGAGGCAGTGTTTTAAAATAATTGTTATTCTATATATCAGTAAAATGCTTCAAGCCCCAAGAAGCTACGAAGCACACAATTTATGCTTATGCAACACTATGTACATCTCAAAATCAAAAAGCTACAGATTTTGTTATTAGTATGAGTGTTTTTACACAACCATCAGCAGCAGAAGAATAACTAACACACCAAATTTGGTGAATCCTGAAACCACAAAAGCACACTAGGGCCCTAGGCTGCAAGCTATACTCAGCCCACAGCTCTGCTCACCTGTTCTGCTCTATTATCCCCAGAAGACTGCTCCACTAATCTGCAATATATTGACTACATGAGAGGAGATTCTAATTGATGACTACTACATAAGACAGCACATTGAAGCGAGGTATGTTACTCAGACTCAGGTACAATGGACATGATTACTTGTCCAAGTGGCAGAACTTGACCGTACTATAAAATATTTTCAAGATTTGGGTCCAAAATGAAATGTCAAGTATTTATACTCAAATTAGAGTATTGAGAATCTAGCACAACCAAAAAATTATCTGCAGAACTTAATAATACCTATGAAATTCAAAACCGGGTCCGTTATCATAGCTTGCTGATGATATTGGGTTATGCTGAACAGAAATAACAAAAAATTATCTGCAGAACTTAATAATACCTATGAGATTCAAAACCGGATCCGTTATCATAGCTTGCTGATGATATCGGGTTATGCTGAACAGAAATAATGCTACGCTCTGCGACTCCAGATGAGATAGGCGATCCCTGGAAGCTTGCAGCTGAACTAGTCCTAGATGAAATTCCTGCAACATACAAGATATCAAACGACCTTTCAGCTGATTGTTAAGTATACACTTCCAGTCATGGGATCTGGCTAGCTCTAAATTTCATTCACCCAAAGATCATTGAATTTATAGTCAAACAAATGAACATACAAAACTAAAATTTCAACCAAATTTGGAATAGCTTATAACATAATCTCAAAGAATTGAAATCAGATTATCTGATGGTAGAAAAAGGATGATTTGAAGAAAAAAGATGATTTAGAAACTCCAACTCTGACAAACAGAAATTTCTGCAACTATACCATAGAAGCCGACAGTTTGAAGTATACAAATCCTCCAATCTGAAAATGTATTAAATTAACAAGGAATGGAATTAAATCAACATCTTGAAGCCAATTTTCTTCCAAATAGCAGAGGGATCTCACGCAGAACATATACTTTTGAACCTTTAACTAAAATATAAGGATAAAGAACCTTAATTCCCAAGCTTCTTCAATATTATAAGTCAAAAAAGAGCCTAAAGCATGAAACTGTGATCCACAAAGAAATAACAACAATGAAGAATGAGCTTAATGTGTGGTGGATACAAAGTGAGAATTATTAGAACAGAAAACCTTTTTTTACAACTATTACAAGTGCATTGAGTATTTATATGATAACTAAAAAAGCAACATGAAGAATTAATCAGACAAAAAAAATATATAATGATATAGGAGACAAAATACACTCATTCTGCTTTGCACGAAAACCAGCAGATAAATCTTTCATTAGATTTTCAAGGAACAAACTTTGGGGAGCGAAAATTTACAGAAACAGAACACGGGTAGAAATTTACCTTGCAAAAGCACAACTAGGCAGAACAAAACAGTAAGCAGAGTAGCAAATAGCTGGTTTTTTGGGGAAGAAACCCTTGCTTCTCTCGTCTTCTTCAATGCTTTCATTCGCTCAACCCTTGCACGCTTAAGTCTAGCAAGTTCATGAAGTTCCCTAATCAGCTTCTGATCAGCTGAATCCAACGACAAACCTCTAGGCGGTCTTGGGGGTTTCGGGGGTTTCTTAGCACTCATCGCCTTTGGTCTCTCCTTAACCACCTTCTTCTCCGGTAATTCCACATTCCTTTCATCTATTACCATTAATTTCACACTCTCCGTGTCTTCCCCGCCACAACTCGTAGCAATCGAAGGCGATAACCTCTCTTCAAACTTAATCCCTCCATTACCACTACCCTCAAAATACAATGGTTTCATCTTATTGTTCTCAATTTCTTCACCCCCACTATAATCTAGGTTATCACAAACTCCCCCCATTTCAAGATCAGCATCATAATACCCGTCTTTTGAAGTAACATTATCCATCATAATAATATAAATTTCCAATAACTTATCTCAACCGCAATACAACAGAACTCATTTCCTTACAATTTCCTAATATTTACACACTACCCACAAAATTTCTTCAATTAATTATATATTTTACACAAGATCCAACCCTAATTTCCGTTCCCCCAAATTAAATTTTTGACTCAAATGTTGGAAACAACCCTGCAATTTGAAGCAAACATTTAAAATTTCAAACACCCAGGAAATTGAACAACTATATATTATCCTAAAAATTCAAAGTGAACAATTAATAAGCACTAAATTAGCTCAAAAACCCAAGTTAAAAATCACATTCTCAATGCTATAAACAGCAGCAAAGTATCAAATTAATCTAAAAAATTGAATTAACGTATAGATTATAAAAATACCTTTTGTGGGGAGCGAAGAAACTGCAGATCCGAAGCTGGCAGTAGCAGCAGAAAACGAGGATAATTAAAGAATTTAAACAAAAAAAAAAAAAAAAGAAATAACTTGGATCCTTCGTGAATTAGTGAGAAAATTAGAGAGAGAAAAAAGGGGAAAAATGTAAGAGGATAAGTTTGAATTTGAGAATGAAAACCCAGAATTTAAAAAAGTATATACTGTAAAAGAAACTGAGTCTATGCTGTGAGTCACAGCTTTAATAAAAACTATATAATATAAAAATGATAAAAATGAGGGTCAATTTATTGAAAGTAACCCAATTAAAGATGGAAACCCGGGATTGTCACCGACACCTTATTACAAACCCATTTTATCATCAACTACCAAAAGCTTAAGACATTAGGATTGTCTTTCTATCCATTAAAATTAAGGAATACTAATTTGGATTTAAGTGTTTGGTTAATTGGGTGGGCATTCTATGAAGGGTCCGGGTCAAGTCTAGGTCAATGGATTCGAGTTTGCTCGTTCTTGGTTATCTTATTATGACTTGAAAGTTCGACATAAACATAATTCGAAATTGAGTTTAAAACATAATTTTTTGAGTAGAATACTTAGTTTTGATTTTTTTGAATATGTCTAGTTAGATTTTTTTAGTTAAGTTGGTTGAAAAAACAATTAATAAGCTAATTAATTAATGTTTGGTTTTTAACAAATGCTTTTTAGCCAAATATTTTCCCCATTTTGGCTTTTTTTCAGCTTGTAGTAAAGTCAACCGAAGTAATTAGGTAACAATTTGGTTAATGTTCTTTTTTGTAATTAATTGTGTATGTGTTAGAAAGCTAATTTCTAAGAGTAGCTTTAAGCTAGAGGTATAGAACTGGGCATGAAAGTAGTAGGTTAGTAACGAGACTTTTTAAGACGTTTGGCTGTTTATATAAATACATCAACATGAGCTTTGGTAGTTGCTTTTTCATAATTTAAATCATGGTTTTGCCAGTAGTTATTCTAGTTCATTTTGTATATTAATAGTCAACATCTACAATGACAAATAACAAATTCAAAGGATCAGTTCATGCTTGTGTCCTTTACAGCTACATTAAAATTAGTCACATAATAAATTATAGAAAAAACCAATGTGCCTTTTAAGTTTATTTTTAGGAAGACTTTTAAAGTAAGTATTAAATTATCTCGCCAAGAATTCACATAAGTTATAGTCAGTAGTCTTGATTTTATACCAAGTAGGCAATTATTTTATACTTATAAAATATAACCTACCTAGCCAACTGCCAATTTCGATTTAAAACTAGAATAGGTTGGCCCATAACCGTCACCATTCATCACCACTTAGCTCAAAGTATTCTGTATAATATTGAAATTAATAGGAGTAATTATATTTAATTAAAGTCAATAAACAATTAAACACTGGGACAATTAGTTTTTTTTTTGTTTTTTTTTTTTGGTAAACAAGGTTCACACCGTGATATCAAGTATTCCACAATTCACACAATATCGACCCCTTTTTCCTAACTATTTTTAAATCGCCTAAATATACATTCAGAATATAATACTACGTAGATTTATTTGAATTCACATTTATAAACTACTCAATCAATAAGTAGGTAAGTAAGCTATTTTTGAGTTCAAGATCAGCGTCGCATCAAGTGAGCATATAATATTAATAGATTATTACAAACAAGACATTCTAAGTTACCTTAGAAATTTTAAAAGATAACCCTAAAAATAATACTTTTATGAAGGAAAACATTTTAAGTCCGTCTAGTGTAAGGCTTTACTTCCTAAGAAAGGATATGTATTTTTAAGGATAAGTTGGTAACTTCACGTATATTATATTGTTAAGTTCATATTAATGTTGTACTACATATGTTATACATAGATTAATCAAAAGCTTTAAAAAGTTAATAATTCTTTTGAGAATGATTGACAATTTAACTCTAACAAATAGCACATAAAGTAAGCTGCAAAGACTCAAAAAGAAAGTCGACAATTGAGTTTTGCATGACCCACAAGCAAATAATAAAGATTCACCTTGTTTGTTTGCTTTACCATCTAATAACTACTATTTTCTTTGGCATAGCTTCTTTGAAATTTTATTAGTTAGTGTTTTGGTGATGTTAGCCCAACTACCCAATATTATCATAATACTATATTTGATGCAAATGTTAAGATAGATAATGTTATAAAATACAAATAAATGGCTAATCATTAATCATATTTAAGAGTTTGTACATTAATCACTAATCTGTAATCACTTATTACAATCACACGAAAACATTTTGTTTAAATAGGTGAAAGTTATGCCAATAGTGGCATCAATCATCCTTATTGAGAGATATTTATGAAAAAAAATATACTGTTCGCCATATAACTTTACGTGCTAAAGTTTCTAGCATAATTTCTATTGTAACTCTTAATCAGTTTGGTGTCTACCTAATATACGAAGTACATTATTGAGAATTCTCTTATTTTCATGTTTTTTTTAAAGTGATTGCTTGTCGTATATGTTTTTTTAAAACTTAAAACACACATTACGTGCATTAGATGTAGTGGAATGTAATAACGGAACAAGAAAGCGGTTGATAACCAACTTTGAAAGCAAGGGGTTCAGAAAAACAGGCGTAGATGTTGTCATGTGGATTAACAAGAAATTAGCTCCAAAATTTACTCGTACCAATGTTTTCTTATTATTGTAGTGCAACTTCTATAAATGTGGCCACTTTTTCTGTGGAATTGTTTTGTGGAAAGTAGAGTATAAATTTAGCATCTTATGAACATAAAACTCAGGTGTTTGAGATTTAATACCTGTATATTCTCCCGGTATTGATGGATCACATTAATGTAATGCACTTCATTTTCTGCAGCAATATTGATTTTTTTTTTTTTTTTTTTACTTCATGTTCTGAAAATTGGGAATTAATTAAAGATCTTTATAATTGACTTTTATTCTTTATGTTCACAAAATAATACGAGTTTACACTAGTAACTAATAATTGCGTACTTCACTCTCATGTAATGTAAATGTAAGTATGTAACCAGAAAAAAGTCTATTACATTCTCTTTTATTAAAAAAAAAAAAAAAAAAAAAAAAAAAAAACCATTGCAATATAGAGTATATATAACAGAATATTTAGGAGGGTTTTATTTTTAAAAAATAATTGTTTATGCGTTGTCGACAACATATTAAAAGAATTATTCTTCGAATCTTTAGCCTAAGAACATTTTATAAATTACGAAATTTCCAAAAAAAAAATAAAAAAAAATTAAAAAAATTAATACTTCGTACATATGGTTATGTTAAAAAAATAATAATGCAATTTGTTAGTACTATATGAAGTCGGTTGTATCTAGAAATATGTACTTAAGAAAAAAATTGTATCCTACGGGCTTGGTGCACTTATTAATTTTAATTAATAATCTAGTTTTGTTAGTTTACAACTGAGATTCATGATACTTCATAGTAAATGCGACCTAAATGAAAAAACGGGAAGTTCCGAAGTACATGTCGCAAGATACGTATCTCCTAATATAGCAGTCCCTACACCATCTTCTGATGTCTCAAAATCATTAAACCCTACTACTAATGTCTAATGTCTAATGTCTAATATCAACCTTTATTATTGAGCACGAGCACATTAAGCCTCGTGCCACCACCACTCATCGTATATATCTTAATCCCTCAACAAACAGCAACTAGAATTAATAGAGTAGCTGAGTGGGGTATGGTGATGCTAAGAAACAAATTGACCCAAGATTGACGTTAATTTCACAAAATCATTAACTAAATTTGTATTTCAACTTGGACATTGCATTTAATTCATAACTCAGTATGACATGCATTATTAGAAAAAAATAAAAAAAAAAATCTTGCTTGTTTGATCCTTTGTCCATTTGTCCTATTGTGTATTGTCTTATAAAGTTGATAATCAAACGCTTTGATGAGTTTCGGGTCATCTACTCATATAGAGACAAAGTTGTTGTGGGTTCGGATATTTTCGAATTACTATGTACTCGTAATTTGGAATGCATCAAGTCAAAGTATTATGTATCGAGTTAAGTGAGGTTTAGCTTGTTTACATTATTAGAGTACTATATTAGAGTAAGATTATTATATATGGGTTTGAGTTAGTTTACTGTCTATATACTATGTTTGGATAAGATCATAAGATGATATACTAGTTATAATTTAGGATGTTATATGAATTATAAGTTTGGTTATATTCTAATTAATTAAATAGTTATACGAGTATTATATTAATTAAAAGCATTATATTAATTGGGAGATTTATGTCATACATATAAATTGAATTATATTAAAAAAAAATGAAAAAAAAATTGTATGTATTTCCTCATGTAACAACAAATTAAATTATTGATACCTATTTACTGTATTTGTTATCTTTTCGTCATACTAGGTGAGACCAAACCTATCTAGAAGCATATCTTTGACAGTTAGTATCGTTTCATTTTCTATTGTCTGTCATCTCTAGTCTCTATCTGTGTGCCAATTTGGTTAGAGCAAGATTATTGGAGAGGATATATGTCCTCTTGTGTGGGGTTTTTGCTGATTTGGAGTAGTCCTCTTTGATGTTGGGTAATGTAGAGGATCCTCAAGGGGAAGAGGATTCTCAACAATCCTCTTCTGGTGAAGGATTGAGCACCTTGTCCTTTGTGCCAAAAGGATGAAGTATCAACCTTTTATTTGTTTTTTTGTTACATAATTTTACTAACTCAAAAAAATTATAATGGTAACATATTTTTAAAAACTAATTTTACCAACGGTTGTATTTTTTTTTCTCTATAAAATGAACCTAATTTTGGCCATTTTTTATGCACTTCAATTTTACATCTTTTTCACTCCTTCCTCTCTTTCCTCTCTTTTTATAATTTTCTTTTGTAATAGATGAAAATAATCATAGTTATGGAAGAAATATGAATTTGGCAGAATATTTGTGGGCAAGATTTGAGCATACTAGTAATCGGTAAGGAAAAAAGAGGATAATTAGTTATTTGTCTTTAATTTCTTGTATTTGTTGTACTTTAGTGTATCAATTAGTGTTTTTATTCCTAATTTCATGTGTTATTGTATCAAAATATTGGTAAAGTATGGTAATTTTTATTAGACCTTATGATTAAAGAAATCAATAAAAAAATAATCTTTCACAAAGATAAAATTTGAAGGTGGGGCCATATTTATAGTATAAAATGTATCAAGAGGATACCCTTTAATGTGGGAAAAATAAATGGAAGATGATGGAAGAGAAGAAAGAGATAGTGGAAAATGAGGTGGATGAAAGAGGGTATGAGGTGTCAAAATAGGATAAGGAGAGAGAATGTTTGAGAGGACAAAACCATCCTCACCAATATTTATACTCTTAGAGAAAAACTCAATTTATATGTATGACATAAATCTCCCAATTTAAAAAAAAAAAAAAAAAAGAAAAAAAAAGACTCTGTAATATTCACACCGTGTTAGACCTATTACTTTTTAACTCGATTATTGGAGTATGTAACTACACACTTTTAGAGGAAGCTTTATTATTATTATTACTCGGAATACCGAAACAAAATGAGTATACCATCTCATACAATAAAAAGGATGTTGTGCATAATAAAAAAAATATTATAATCATATCTCCAACTAATGTGCTAAGTACATTCATGAAATCATAATTAATAGTATATAAAATTTGATTGAGAGAATCATAATGATCTTGTGTCCATTATACCAACTTGCCAAATACTACGTACATTATAGTTATATAAGTGATGTTCATAATCATAACCCTCTTAAAATTTTCACCCAACTCTTTGAAACACCTTTTTTTTTTCCATCCATTCTCAAAAAGCTCAAATAAATAATCATAACCGTTACAAACTCAACAATACTTGTATAGATATTACGGCGTGGTCCAATGCTCTAAACCCATGCTATATGTGGAGCCAAGCTCCTCGGCTAAAGGAAAAAAAAAAAAACATTTGGTGGTTATTGGAATTATCAAGAACAGGAGCAGGTGCAGCAGGGGTGAGGAGCCAATATCAGACAAAAAACAGAGGAATGAATCCCCAAATAATTTGCTCTCATTTATGCATGCCCATAACGCCAGACTTTTGCCAGCCAAAGCCAAAGGTCACAACGCTCTTCTTAATTTCTATATGCTCTTCATTTATGAGCTTTAATGTTCACAGAATCACAGGATACAGTATACATATTCTGCAACAATTCAAGCACAGACTAGCATTTACCTTCTCAGAAGGTTTTTCATGAATCTTACTAGTACAGTTTAAAGCTTCGTATCTATTTTTAGTACGAGGAGATTTTCTTTTCTTTTTTTTTTCTTTTTAGAAGGATTGTATAGAACTGAAACCTCTCACAAACCTTCATCCCCAAAAAGCACCTAGCGAGGTGTAATACCATAATCTTTAAGTCACGAAGCCAAACCTTTACCATTAAACCAAGTGTTACTTGATGGGGGATTATTATAGATAGACCTGCCTACCAATTCTTTGTCTATTTCAAACTAGTTCTTGTACAAAAAACTAGTTTAGAGGGGGTGGGTATGTACAATAATAAAGACCCTATCCATCTTCACTTAATTTTGTTCTGAATTAAAAGTATCATTTAGTCGAGGGTGAAATTTGTTTGATTGCATCGAGATGATCTTCTGAAGTTTATATATCTGAAGATGATACAAAAATCAGTTCATACGACATAAAGTTGCTCACGCCTTAATTTTTTTTTTTTTTTTTATTGTCATTAAATTATACATTTCCTGTAACAGAACAGGTGTGGAGGTTTGCTCCACAGATATAACTGGTTCATTTGCTTACATAAAAAAAAACAGGGACAGAAGAAGCAACAGTTACTGTGGTAGACGAAACTAAACTTGGCTGTGCAAAGATGAATAGGCAGCAATGGACAATCTAAAACTTAAAGATGGCCGCACCACTAGATGGCTTTGAGGCAAAAACATAGAGACCAAGGTCATTGTTACCGATCACCCCCTTGTCAATCCTTGATTGGTAGAAGTGCTCCTGATAGAGACACACACAAAATGGGTCAAATAATTCTTCTTATATTCGGGCTGCACACTTCAAAACTCTATTAAAACCTGGAGTGTTTAGTTGAACTTACTTTCAAATCAAGGATAAAATGTGGCACTGTACTTTCCTTTACCAAAGAAACTGTGCAGCCACCCCATCCGGCACCTGTTAGCCTTGAACCAAGAGCACCTTTATCACGAGCAACTTTCACAAGTTCTTCTAACTCAGGACAGCTATATTAAAAGTCACCCATTCACCACCAAGAAACAAAATCTTAATTAATCAAGAAGCACCAAAGAAAAAGCGATATAATAAAGTATGTTCCAATTTCTAACTTCTGCATTACATTTCCACCCTAAGCAAAGGATCCTACATACTGCTACGCTACAGAAAGAAACTGAAAAGTGAAGGGCATTTCTTCCACTCCTCCTGCAGCTAGAAATCAAAGGACCTATATATTGCTACAGGAAAAACTGAAGGCGAAATAAACACCCAAGCGCAAATCAAGTGGCAAGTAACAGCAAACAAATCCAACTGTAATCCAATTTCTAACTTCTGCATTACATTTCCACCCTGTCTGCAACCAGGGCTCCACTTTAAAGCACAATTGCTGTCAAAACATCAAAATGGCCAAGGGAAGTACTCATTCCCATCGCCTTAAGCAGTCAAAGTTGCAATTCAGGCTTGTGTATCTTGTTTGTAAAGCATAGAACGGTGGATAGCCCCCCATGTAAGATGGACCTATATGATAAGTATTCCTTATGCCCTACCACTCCCTTACTCTAAATCTTGTTTTGTACTACTTAGTAGTTTTTAGGTTTCGGCAACCTCAGTTTCTCAACTAGACTTAAACTGCCGGCAAACTCATACTTTCTCTTAGACCATTTAAAATTAATGGTACAGTTAATGTGTTCTATTGATCAACTTAACGGAAGATGTGAAGCAGGATTGCAGGAGACCAGGAGCAAGTGATATAACATTATGCTATAGTTAGTGACAATACAGGTTTTGCTACAATTCTCCTTCATTCCTCACAAATCTCATCATATTCAGGTCACTAACAAGTCTCGATAAATATTGCTAAAATTCATAAATAAAAGTTAAAGCACTCGGTCAACCTAAAACAGCCACACACATGTAGTTTAGTACAAAGGAAGACTTCATCGAATAATTAAATTGAACTCAAATTAGCATCACTAGTGGTTAATGCCTCGATACCTGCATTCATAGAGAACACTGCAGCTATAATGACTCTCATTCATAAGGTCACCAAGCTTCTTAAGCATATCCTCCTCACTGCAAAGACAAGTTGTAGAATGTAAGTATCCAAAAGACTATTTATACACATTACGTAAAATTCTAATCTTAGCTACTACAGATATTTGTTTCAAACTACTGGGTACAACAGCTATGGGACTCTTCATGTTTTTAGACAATAACTCACTGCATATAACAGTCTCCAGCAGAATGAAAGGATAGTAAGCTCCAGCATGATATTTAAAAGATACACGACAGGGGAAGAGGATCCAAATGCTCAGCCAAAAGCTAAAATTTAACTTACCTCAAATCTGAGGACACTGTATCCTTGAAAGCATGTACCCTCTTAGCTTCAGAATACACATGAGCAGCCCTCTGGAGAAAGGCGATTTGGCGTTAGGCATAATTTGGAAAGGGAAAATGACTAATTTACTACCACAGTGGTGACTGGTGTGCAAGCATACGACACAGCAGATGGATCAAAGAATCATAAAATAATCCATCAGTGAAACACTCTAGCCTAAACATCAATGTAAGGTTTATCTAAAACCATCCTAACAGGGAAAAAAAATGGTCGGAGCTAAAATAGCAAAAGAGAGATTCACAATTTAGAAATATTACCATGATGACTTGAAAAAGATCCAGGAAGGAAAAAAAAAGGTGGGGGGGGGGAGAAGGAAAGAAAAGAAAAGAGAAGAGAATGTTCCAAGAACTAATGAAAAAAAAAGCAGCAGGGACATAAAGACAAGAAATTCCACTCTTTCATCATAAATTGGCAGCTAGAGCAGATTGCACAATACAATTGAATTGTGGTGTATGTAGTGGATGAGATTAAAGTATCAAATTTCCAAAATGAGAAGACACCCTTGATGAAAATTGAAACATTTTGAAAAAAGAAAAGGAGAGTATACTAAATAATGACATTGTCAAACACCCATTCCTAGCATCTGATAACATGCAGCAACTACAGAGTTACATCTTATATGTTTGTGAGTAAATAACAACCAACTGCATACAAATAGGATCTACAATAACCAAAGATAAAATCAAACAGATGCCTGGTAACTAACAATCACGATTCATGAATGCAAACATAGTTGCAAGGGTCTAAATTAAATTAACAATCACCAAACAGTCAAGTACTGCAAATAAGATCCATCTGTAGTATTATACCTGATGCAGCTTATAGTGTCTGGCTGCCTTCAAAACATCCAAAGAAGTAGGGGAGTCGCTAAAGATTGATTGCAGACTCTCATTAGTGATCTTCTCAATATCGTCAGCAGTATATGGTTCCTCTTTAAGATTCTCCTGGAAAAACAGAGAAGGTTTGCATCGTCAAACTGGTGGTAAAAAAGGATTGATTATGCCTAGTCAAATTTCAGAATTAACTAAACAGTTGGTGATTCATAGTGCAGCACAATATGAGCACTCTGTTAAATAATACCATCATATAACGCGAGACCAACTTTGCACTATATGAAATTCTCTCTACACCCAACACATTCTAATTAAAGGTAATATAGCATAATCCATTACTCGGTTCCTAAAATAACAGCAAATAACTAAACCATGGGTAATGCTATAGGTACAAAGAGACAACTACTATTAAAAAGGTATGCATGGGTACCTGGACAGCTAGTACAGGATCAGTAGAGCCACGAGTGCCAGCGAAGGACATACAGAGGCCCTCAACATCAGAAAGTGTTTTGACATTGGATGCTGCCTCTTTTGGGTTCATTCCAAGCTTAATACCCAACACAATCTGCAGAAGTCAAACAAGCAAACTTTTATGCAAAACTCAAACATCAACAGTACTGCATCAAACACTCATATCAACCCTAAATTTTTAATCAAGAAGCTATTTAACACATTCCTTAATAATCTTCAGCTTAGTCGGCAGCAAAATAATCAGAAGAAAAACAATGTCATAAAATTTTGGTTTTCTTTTGTGTCATCATAACTGCCTAATAGAACTTAGAACTCATGTAGAATGAATAATTTTGTAACCATCAAAATTTTTATTCAGAGCGTTAAGTCAAGTTGAAAATAAACTCACTGCAGCAAGTCTGCATTCAACCACACGATTGTTGTAATTTGTGGCAGCAGTGACAGCTTTCTGAGACTCTGCCAATGAATGTGCTATTACAAATGATCCCCCAGCTGGAAGTTTTACGTCAGTTGCACGAATAGGATTGAAATCTATCAACTCCGCGAATCCAGTCTGGGCCATGACAGAAATTGCCTAACAAAAACACGCTTAAATCAATTGATACATAGAATACTCTCAACATTGATTGATATATTTACATTCAGAATTCCAAATGTATTGACATAGAGCTACATTTTATCTTCTCAACAGAAGTTAGGCAGGGTCTTTTCATATTATGCAGTAATATTTTTATAGGGAGCTCTTTATAGATCCAAAAATGAGCAATCAGATGTCAAATCAGGTCAAGAGCAAATTGCTCTAAAGCCTTGAATCAGTATGGAACTCTAATAGTTGAGTATCAAGAGAAGTTCAGGTAAACGCCTGGAACGATACTAGAGTTGAGAAGAAAACAGAGAATGTGAACTGTAGTATAGTTTAGACAGAGACATAAAAATCTATGAAAGCAATGAGAGGGTAAGATAATAATATATAATTTCCAACATGAAGAAAAAACGAAAGTATATTCGTAAGTCTTGAGCCTACAAAGTTCAACACTTGAATATTAGGAGTAGTTATTTAGCAAGAAGTGGTCTCAAAGATAACTCCACAGAAAAATAATTCAACAACATTGACAAACTGCATGTAGTTAGTGAATTTTTCAGTAAATATTCGTATAACTTCAGAACTTAATGTTCCCAGTACAGTCTTTCATTTTACTCAAATTCCTTTAAATATATAACAATATGCTGTCTAACCTGATCCATTCCACCAGACTGCGTCCCTATGTGCCGCTCACATTCACAAGTGAGTTGTGCAATTTCTTTCTGCAAAAAAGGGAATAAAATTTGAAAAAAGAAATTATATTACGGAGTAGAATTTAAAATCTAGATTGCAACCAAGACAAATATTGACAGTAAACTACATATGACAATAGAATATAAGCTGTTACTGTACAGTCTGTTACAGCCTTTTGTTCCATCCGATACAAATTGTGCAAGACCAGCCCAATATATATTGCTTTCCTCATGCAGAAGGAAGTTCAAGTAGCATAACAGAATTTTGAATTCAAAAAAATACTTTTTTTTATATATATAAAAAAAAAAGGTCCTATTGTTAAAAGCTTTTCCCAAATCAGTAACAATTAATAAAATAATAGCAGCGTTATAAGATAGGCCTAAATGTTATCTCAGAGAGCTCTAAGACATAGATACAGTCTGACTTGAGAAGAGGATATAGCCCTTAAAATCTCCACTCAACAGATCATCCATATGGAAAGATAAGCAATCAGTCCTCTTGGATCATTTCAAGCAAGTTTGTGATAAACTATTTTCCGAAGCTTAGAACACTAATAGAAAATGCAATTATTTTCTTCCAATTAATGACATGGATTGTGAAAAGCAACTGAGGTGAAAATCAGCGAGCAGTAGAATTAACTACTACAAAGAGTTATAAATACCTTAGGGAAGTTCACCCCAAAAGCAGCCATTATAGCGATTGTAGAAGAGCAAACAAAAGCTGCCGAACTTGACAATCCAGAACCTAAGTGAAAAAGAAATCGCAAATACAACTCAGAATGAGCACTGCCATAATCAGATCATTATTAAAATATTTGTTCTTTCCTATGCTAATCAGAACCATTGTGACAAGTTTAGTGAAAAAGAAAGAAAGAAAATATACCAGTTGGCACTGTTCCATCTACAATGATATCCAGGCCTACAGGTTCACCAACATTTACACCTTTTGATTTGGCATATTCATGGTAGCCTTTATATCTGCATATCATATATAAAATATTACAGAAAACTTTAATAAAAAAAATAAAAAATTATAGCAGCGTAAACTTTGGAAGACTAAAAATCCGTTCTGAGCTGATTGATTGATTAAAAAATAAATCAAAATGCATCAGCAGTTAACAATATAATCTAAAAAACTACGAATCTTACCCACAGATGAAATAATGACCCCATTTGAGATTCTTCAAGTCAAGTTCCTGCTTAAAATAATAGATTTAAATTAATTATAACATCTGCCACTTATAACCAAGAACAAGTCTTAATATATTCTGGTCATAGCAGTATACTATAGAAAAACAGGTTATAAGAGAAACAGAAACAATCAAACATCTCAGCTTAATATTGTGTCCTGAAATAACTTAATATTAGTATGCACAATTGCTAACTCATGTAGTCATGTGTCCATAATAGTCCTTCTGTTCGGGGATAAAAGACACATTGTCCCAACCCCGTATTATTGCACAACCACCATGAATTCACCGAAGTAACCTATCAATAATTATACCCCTTATTTTCTCTCCATTGCTCCATCTAAATAGAATTATGCTAAAATCTCATAATTTATCCCTTTTTCCAATACCAGACGAAGGGAGTACTCGTATTCCCTCATGCTATCCCTAAATTATCCAATTAAGCAAGCAAGTTTCTCAGACTTGATTCCGCCATGAATACTACCACAAAAACACAATGCCAATTTATCATGAGAGCACAGATCACAACACAACTCCCTAAAAAAAAAAAAAGTAGTATTGCTCTAAGTCAAACCCAATTCCTCTTCCACTCTTACTTCAACCAAATCGAACCCAACTCTCTTCAATTACATTTGAGTGAAGTGAACCAGCATTGACTTTTCAGCTTCCACATAAAGCAATAACTAATAAAAACACTATTCTTATACTCTATATAATCAGCAAAATCGACAAAAAAAAAATACGAGAGATGATTAAAATTAACCTGATTGGGATCAGCAGGATATGTACACATTGAATATTTATTATCATCGAGATTCGCAATTCTAAGCACTTTCTCTTCATCTTCGCCTCTCCTTCGAATCGCAACAATAGTATCTTGTCTAATCGCCATCGGTAACACCGAATACCCCTCATAATCTATATGCTCTCCGATCAAATTGACTCTCCCTAATCCACAAAAAAAAAACCATCAAATTAGCATAAATTGAGGAGAGAGAAAATTGAAAAAATAAAAAATTATAAAACCTGGAGATCGCGCGAAGATTTCAGGAGGATGAGAGAAGAATTGTTGGAATTTTGATTTGATTTTGTCGAAACGAAGTCTTGCTTCTTCGAGAAGCGAGCCATCGCCATAGACGGGTTCTAGAGAGGTGTAGATTGGTACTGGTTGATCTTCGTGTTTCGCCATTGTTTTTGAATTGATTGATGGAAAAGGGTAGGATAATAAAAAAAGGCCTGGGAAAAGGGAGGTTATTGATCAATCTGGTAAATAAGTCAGAGAAAATTAAGTGTAAATTAAAAAAAGCCGTTAAAGGACACTGTGATGTGACTCAGCTAATAATTTTATGGTTTATCCACTTTTAGTGTAACTCCGTATCGATTTATCCACTATTTATAGTCTATAAAAATAACTTAAATTAATATTTAATGGTATGTAAACTTTTCAAATTCTGTACAATATCAAATTATCATAGATTTATCTTATGCTATAATTTAAAATTTTCATTAACTTATCAACAATAAATTTTTTTTAGAAAAAACAATATCAATATGGAAATTATCTAATTCATATATTTTCCAATATTGATTACACTCTGATAGAATTAGAATTGACTCAATTCACATGACCACATTAGCCAAAATAATGGAGGGGTCATCCACTTTACATAAAAGTTCACCTCCCCTTTGCCAATAAATACAGGAGCCTTTTTAGTTTTAAATTTATTTTTTTACCGATGAGCAAGAACTAGTAGAAGGGAGGTTGAGGTGTACATCTAAAAAGACTTTAATACCATCCTTGCTTAAATACCATCGAAGTTTGCATCAAAATCTAATCATATCATAGAAACAACAGGCAGCCAGAAAGCTTAATGCAAACCATAAGCTTTAAACATTTAACTTCCCACCTCCATTGCTTTTAACAAACCAGAAGAGCCAATCCTAGTTACACTTGAGAGTTAAAACTGCATAATAACATCAATATCAACCATTGCTAGAAGTAGAACAAAGTATTTGGATCAACTACATTAGAGCATCAAATTCCTAAATTGATTTCTTTTCAGACGAGGAACCTAAAGAGTGCCATCAGTAAAGATACTTCTTGCCACCGCCACCATAGTTGCCCTTGCTACCTCCAGAGTTGCTGCCACTGTCAATAGTTCACCCTAGTCACCTTCTCCTGCTTGTAGTACTCAGTGTAACCTCCTTTGTCGCCAACCTTCACAGTTGAGCTAGTCTTGTACTCAGCCTTGTATCCAGTTTTCCCCCTGTTAGAGTAATCCCCACTTGAGTACGACTCCTTAGCAGTTTGACGTAAGTAGCTGCCACTCTGCTTGTCGTAGTTGTTGCTCCTGGTTGTCATCTCATAGTTTCCAGTACTAGCTCCGCTCTGTTTTGTGCTGACAGTGGTGTCGTTCGGCACAACCACAGCATAGCCACAGTAGTGAGTCTTCTGGTTCGACATTTCCTGCAAGAGCGCAACATGATTATTAGTGTTGAGTCCCTTAGGTTTTGATTGATAGTTTTGAATGATGACAAACAGCTAAGGGAAACAGGTCTTTGAAAGTGTTCAATACAGTTGGGGGAACCAACTAAAATAGAACACTGTTTTCCTAGATAAGTTATTGATTATATGAGTTATCTATTGAACTAACTTATCTATATACAGGAAACAGTTAGATGATAAATGTGCTATGTACTGGTGGGGAACCAGTATGAACCGTTTCCTTGACTGCTATGCGGAAAAGCAGTCACATACTCTTTATTGTGCATTAACCATGTTACATGTGCAGTAGTTGAGTTGATTCCAAGACTTGGAGCATAGAAGCCTTTCGAAGATATTTCGAAGAAAGATTGTTTGCTCATAATAGAAGTATTCAAGGAAGATTCAAGTCTTGAAGATTACATGAAGAAAAGACGATTTATGCTTTAATATGTTATCTAGGTTTTCATGTAATATGCTCCGTAGTATGCTTGCATGTTTGGGTTATATAAGTGCTTAAAAGTATATTGAAGTATGATATGAAATCTGGTACAAAGTTGGAACAGGTTTCATAACATGTTTCAATTCAGGGAACCAGGTCGGGGAACCAGGTTCACTGTACGAAATATTCGAGCTGCCGTTTTGGAAAAAGATTTTACAAAAAGATTTTTTCGAAAAGATTATTTTGAAAATATTTTGTGCAGCTGGAAATAAGATGAAATATTCTTGGTTACCTAAAAACTAGGAGTATTTATCTTAATTGATTCTATCTTTGTGATTAAATCAAATAAGATAAATACTTTCCTAAAATTACAATATATCTTATTCTCTAAGATTGTGTGATTTAAGGAAACTAGGTTTTAGGAATCTAAGCTTATATAAACTCATCTTATTTCACATATTTCGGGTGCCTCTCCAGAAATTAAAAAGAGCAATTATTTGAGAGCATATACTTAAGCACTAATCCCATTCATCAAGTCATATACAAGAGCATTCTAGTACAAAAACATTTTCTCTTAATTAGCTTCGTAGAAGTGAGATCAAAGGAGAGTTCTTGATTCTTGTATTGAGTCTTTAACAAAGGGGTTAAAGGCTGGGTGAGTGTTTGTGAGTTCAAACACATTGGGCTTACGAGTGTAAGTCGAGAGCACACTCGGAGTAGAGTGTGGGGTAGACTGGTTCCCGGAGTAGGGAAACAGTAGAGTGTTCTTTGTCTTTGTTTTTCGGAGTAGATTAATAAAGGACTTAGGATAGGAGGACGTAGGCCTGAGTTGGCTGAACCTCGTTAAATTTGTTGTGTTCTTTATTGCTTTGTTTTATTCCGCTGCATAAGGGAACCAGCACAACTGGTTCCTTACACATAATCCGAAAAGAAGCAAAAATCGCTAACGATTACTTAACACTCAATTCACCCCCCCCTCTTGAGTGCCCATTGAACCTTCAATTAGAATAAGTGAAATTTAAAATTCAAAGAAAGCATCACACGCTCTATGACTCTATGATATGAGTGCGGAATACGGAGTACTAAGATAAAAACCCTTGTGCCAAACATTCAACAAGAACTCGATCGAATGAACGATTAAACCACTAGCAAACAGGAAGATTTGTTAACAATGATCAAATTTGACAATTGCATGGTCTATGACTCTATGATCTGAGTACGTACTATTGGTCTATGGAAAGTATTTTAGGGCAACCGAACATAAAATATAAACACAATGAGTAAGAATTGGAGTATAACATGCTCTATGACTCTATGAGTGCCATGACTAACAATAATCGAACAAAAATAAGATCAATTCTATATGGAGTACTTCTATTATCAAATATTTACCAACATTGCTTCAAAAAATCAATGTGACAATTTATTCTGGTCGAGCCGAGACAACATCGAATTCGACTAGAAAGCACAAAATATGAACTATTCAGATCCTTAATTTCATTAACTGATTCACACATTTTAGAAACAAACAATTACCAGATGAAACAGCACTATTCACCCATATTTACATCAATACAACAAAATTTAAACGAGTAATGTAAAATTTAAACGAGTAATGTGACATCTATATAGATGCAAAGATCATTTATAAAAATAAACATCCAAAAATACGCTAAATAAATGGAGCATAAGTGACAAGTTAATTGCATTGCACCAGTAAATCGGATAAAATACCGTTATATTTAATTTTTCGGTTCATTAACATGCATTACAACATATAAAATTGAAGAAAAATCTCATAATAGCATCATTATACAAATCCTTAACCATATGAACCATCGATAAAGGTGATTACACAAATGCATCATAAACACACTTCAAAACAGACGAAAATGATTATTTATAATGGCGAAAAACATGTACAATAATCTCCAACACCCAGAAAAACATCAAAAACAATGGCATCATAAACATGCATCAAAACAGAAGAAATTGATTAAAAAAAAAATAAAAAATCGGCAATAACTTACAATAACATTTACGTAATCGTAGAAAAAAGACGCAAATTATTAATAAAACAGTATTTAACATAAAATCCATAAGCAAAATTCCTAAAAGATGGAGAGAGAGAAAATGAAGGAAACCTGATCGGCGAAGGTTGGAGAGAGAAGCTAGGCTTTGGAAACGAAATGGTGGAGCGAGGTTGAAGAAAAGAAGACTGAAAAGTTGCTTTTTATAGACGGTTATTTGACTATAGAGTGAGTAATTCAGTGTGAACGGTTTCACTTGCTTATGATAGACCGTAGTAAATTTATGGCCGTTGATTTTTTGTGAAGAAAGGTTAACGGTGAATGATGTGGGGAGAAATAATTGGAGCGAAATATTGTGTTAGTTGAAATTGGAAAAGATAAAGGAGATTGAGGCTTTTTGGTCTTATCTGCTCCGTACAGTCTACGTACTGGTGAATTGGTGATGGTCTGGTCTGCTGTAGACCTGTAGTCTGCACTCTGCAGTTGAGGAAGTTTTTGACATGTATTTGCAAATACATATCAAACCTTAAAATATTAAAAAGTATTGTAAGCACATGGGAGTGAGAGAAAGGAGGAGAGAGATTGGCAAGTGGGACCAATTTTTAAATGTACCACTAAAATCTTATATAATATCATTGATTATGTAGTGATATTATTTCTATACGTAGTTGGTACCACTAAATGAATATACATTACCATTGAATGAATATATAGTACCACTGAATGTTCAGTGATACTATTTGATCATCTAGTGATACTATTAATCACCCAGTGGTACATTTAAATCCAGCACGTGGGTGTGAGAGAAAAGGAGGAGAAAGATAGGTAAATTTCATGCGAAATGTCTCAAATGCCCCTTGATATGTATATACAAGTACCTATCAAACCTCCCTTTGGAAGGCCTCCTTATCTGCAGTGTGCACCAACACGCCCCTCCAACCTACCTCATCAACATTAATCAATTAATGTGGTTAACATCTTTTTTTTTTTTTACTCCGTAGTATAGAAACAAACAGACTTTTATTTTTTGTAATAATTATACAGGTTAGCCCGTTGGTATAATTTTGTGATTTCGCATTATAATTTGTCCGTGAAGAAAATTAGTACTCCTTAATCAATAATTGTTTCGTACACCCGGGTGTACCATGCGCATGGTACACCCGGAAGAATATCACCCTATGAATAAAAGAACATTACCTATAAATAAAAGAACATTATTTATAAATAAAAAAATCGTAGTTATAATAATTTATTATACATTACAAACTAACATAGAGTACATAACAAAAAACGTTACATATAAAATACAGAACATTACATACAATAAAAGAACAAAACTTAAAAATAAGATTATATTACACACATATATAAAAGAACATTATCTTTCTGAAAAAGAACGTCAAATATAAATAATGGAAAAATGCTACTACCCAAACCCTTGAAGAAGATGAACAACAATGATAGTGCCAAAAATTCAAACAATCAAGTAATTTCATGATAATAAAGTTTTATATGAACAATAAACATTATCACAAAATACAAAATATAGGTAAAAATAACAAGCAAAGAGAGAGTTCACTATTGAAGCACAACCTAGGGTTTCATATTCATGAAATAGAACAAAGATGAACAAAGAAAGAGAAGTCATACCTCAAATGAGTAGAAAACCCTTGTAAAGTGAATTAATAGTGGAAATCAAGCAAGTTGAACACTCAATTGCAAGTTTTTTAGCCAAAATAAAAAATACCCAAAATTCTCAAATCATGAAAAATCCGAAAATTTGGTTGTGAAATTCAGATTTTGGAGTGTAAAATCTAGTAAAAATGTGTTTGTGAGTGATGAATTAAACACATAAAAACTATAAAAATCAAGAAATAAAATGGAAGAAGTTAGAGGGAGTAGAGAGAGAGTATCGAAGAGAGAGAAAATGACTGGGTGAAATGAACATTACATATAAAACAAAGAACATTACATATAAATAAAAGAACATTAAATTTGTCCCAATATTATTTTATTTATATGTAATGTACTTCCGAGTGTACCATGCACATGGTACACCCCCTTTTACCATACTATTTTCACTCCTTAATATCTTATTCTGTATTAATTTGACTAATTTTATTTTGTTGCATACGAAATATTTCGACATATGTTGTATATAATTTTATCTGTGATAATAACTCGTGCAAGATCAATAGATATTTAAAAATTTGATGGTAACTTTTTATACAAAATCACAATACATTATGCAAAAAATTTAACTTGATCTGTTATTAGGGGTAGCACTGGTGGGTATGAGGCTATCGGTAAGAATATGGTTGATATTGAATTTTCGAATTGTAGGAGTGTCAAAATTCATACTATGACTAAAGACTTGAGGAAGCCCACTTTCTAACGTTGATAAGAAAATTTCGTTTTATCAAGGGGCAAAAGTGTAAGGTTTTGTGTAAAAGAGGGTAAAACAACACCAATAGCATGGACTATCTCCTTAAGATTTAAGGATGGGAAAAAATTGTATATCAAACCTAGACCCAGCATAAGAGAGATGCTTTGGTAAGTGCTATGTGCATAACCCAAAGTATAATCCGACACAAGAAGAAGTTAACCTTGGACACCGCAATCCCAAGGGAAAATATTCCTCTATCAAAAAGGATATTCCACTGCGATTACCAGCAGAGCGTCAAGATTATTAAGTAAATTCCTAACATCAAGCTAAGATCGTATTATACTAACAACATAGCAAGTCGTCGCGATATATATCTCCATTACAAGGATTTACAACTAGCATTGCGACCATCGCCACGATTGATGCCACTAGACGAGCCAAATGACGACAAAGAGTTGAGGAACAAAGCCACAGTTGATATTAGTGCTTTCTAGAAACAAGAAACCATTATAAATGGAACTGCGGAACAAAAACAATAAGAACAATGTTATCGGTTATAAGGCTAAGTCACGGACTATGTCGCTCTCTTTAGAATATTCATGGTACTGCCTCTAATTTGTGCAAGCAGATCGAACCACAACCGGATGTCCTCCAGGATAAAACAGTCTCTCAAAAGTATAATGTACCAATGGATTTGCACAGAAACACCGGGCAACTAAACACCAAAACTAAAGAAAAACTGCTAGATCGATTTTTATTTATTTTTAATACAAAAAAGAATAATATTTTCTATATATATAAAATCGGTGAGCAAAGTGTTATTTTATAGCTGAAAATTAAACGTTGCAATTAAGTCGTTTAATCCCTAATTAAAACGGTTACCGTAATAATGGACAGAAACAGTTACCATAAAATCAGTTAAAAATTAATTAACATAAGTAATGGGAATTAAAACGGTAGTGGGTTTGAAAAGGCATTAATTACATAACTAAACCTTGTTCAAAAAATTTAAATCTGTTTTGATCATCCAACCCGAGTCGACAACGCATGCGTGTGTGTTAGGTTGGCTCGGTAGGTAAGTCTTCCCGCTCCACAAAATGTGGGTTGCCCTTGAGCCACACCCAAGTATACCACACTCTACATTACAAAATTCACACCCAAAACACACTTTGTTTCAACAAAAACAATACTTAACAGCCCAAAATGAATTAAATAAAGCTGTTTATACAAATACACAGCTTAAATTAGTCCATATTCAGTAGAGGATCAAGTTAAAGAGTCAATCTCCACATCCTAAATTCAAGAAATTTCTGCATATCTTTCTTTAACCGATTATTACATACCATTCGAACTTACTCTCACAAGGGGAGACCAATAAATAGAGGGTTTAAAAAACAAAACACACACACACACGCATAATAGAATAGATTTAAACATAGGTAATATGATAATACCCTAAGAGGGTGTTTGTTTAGAGGATAAAAGGGGTGGGACAAGGATAAAAAATAGGGATAGAAAAAATGTAGTGTTTGTTTAGAGGGATGGGGATTAGAAGGGGGTTAGAGATAAAAATAAAAACACTCACCTATCCCTCCATTTCTATAACTAAGGGGGGTGGTATAAGGGGAAAGAATAAGAAATGGGTTTTATAAGACCAAACTAGTATTTAGCTCGTGTGATGCATGGGTTAATCTTGTTGGTTAAATAAAAAGTATATATTTTTCAATTAAAGAATTTTACTATTGTGTGTTTAAATTGTTCTTAGGTTTTTTTTTAAATCAAAACATATGTAAATATAAATTATATTGTATTTTGTTAGTAGCATAAAATACTACGTAAATGTAATGCGGTATATTCTAATCCAAAAAAAAATTAATTACATCATATCATATGTAAGAAATACAAATTGCATCAAGCAAAAAAACTATCTACTAATACATACATGTTTTACCCAAACCCAACGTACATGTGATGGAAAACATTAGCTAGCTTACCTACATATGGATGCATTAAATAATAAATTGATAAAAACAAAATAATTTATAATAAAATCATTAAACATTAATCAAACACTAATACTTCTGATTAAAAATTTTATTATTTATGTTATTTTAGTTAATGTCAAGAAACACTATTCTTTCAAAAAAAAAAAAAAAAAAACAGTATGAGAGTACAATGACAATAAAATTATTTGTACAAAACTAATCATATGAAATTCTTATTAAATGCTTCCAATTGTCTCTTCACAAAATTGATATATTGTAGTTTCCATCCAAATATATTATTCCTTTGTTGAATATTGAATTTTTCACCTACAAACACATAAAATCACCAAATAAATCAAATCAACATTACTTAAAAGAAATCGAAAACTGAAAATAGAAAAGAAAATCAAAATCGATTATTAAAGAGAAAATATATAGTAGAGCAGAATGTACAATTTAGAAAAAGATTTTACAAAAAAAAACAAAACTCAATATAGAGTCTAGCTTATGTGCAACTGGACATTTTGAACATTAAAAACAGGCACTCGTAATTTTATTATATAATGAAAGTACAATGTAGCATCAAGGAAAGAATACAAATAACTACTTTGCCACATGAAAAACATCATGTTAGCAATAAGTGAAAATAACAATTTAAAAACGTAATTAAAATTAGATCAAATAAATAATTTGTTTTGCAAATCTAGTTCAAATTTACAAAAATAGTACTAAAAACACAATAAACGAAAATCATAGACAAAAATGAAGTTAAAAATAAATAAATTTAAATTGAGATCTTAAAAAATGAAAAGGAAATATACAGCAAAATAAAAAATATTGAAAATAGAATTATAAAAACTCGATCTTTAGACATTGTAAAAGAAAATTAATTATGAAAATCTTTTTAAAAAATCCAAAAAAAATATTGATACACAATTCTTCTTAAAAAAATGATTAAACACCAATCACCCAAGAATTATTCAAAAACAAATTCAGAAAAAAAAAATTTGAAAAATATTAAAATCCTACAAAAACTTAATAAAAATCAAGATCTGAAAAAAAATGTGACACATGATAAAATTTAAAAAATATTAAAATTCATAAAAAAAAAAATTATCTTTGAACATTGAAAAAGGAAAAAAAAATAGAAAGTTTTATAAAAACCTAGACAAAACTCTAAAGCGCAATTTGTTAAAAAATGATTAAATACCAAAGCAACAAAAAAGTGAAAAGAAATTTTAAAAAAAAAAACGAATTATAAATAAAGTTGAGAAAACATACGTTTGATTGCTCCCTTAAATTCAATATCGCTATTATTTTTTGAAGTTTGTATACATCTTGACAATAATTTTTTTTAATTACTTAATATAAATATAGATTTAGGATGAAAGAGAGAAATGGTAGAGTTAGGGTAAATAGAGAAAGCGTAAAAAGTTAGAGAGGGGGAAGATAAACTATTATTAATATTTTAGTGTGATTGAATATTTATATATATAATGCAATTTAGTGAAACCCAAGTGACACAAATGAAAATTGATATCTTTTTTTTAGGGGACTGAATAATTTAGGAGTTTTTTTTTTTTATTATTATTATTATTATATTTTTTTTACACTTTAGTTGAAACCAAAAAAAAAAAACAAAAATCATAAATGCAAGATGAGGACAAGTGTCCTTTAAATTTCCTGTTTTAAAATATTAGTATAGATTATATTTTTTTTGGATTTAATAAATTATTTTCTTGAATAGGCATGATTAGGGGGTTGGGATGGAAGAGATGTAGAAGAATTGTTTGATGTGATTTTCTGTTTTAATAATTTTTTTTGGATGAAAAAAACTATTTTCTTAATTTTTTTGGATGAAAAAAACTATTTTTTTTTTAAAAAAAAATTATTTTTAAAACAGGAAGAGGACAAGTGTCCTTCCAACTTCCTGTTTTAAAATAATAGTATTGATTACCCTTAAATGAATTGAAATGGTAGAAGTTAGTAAGGGTATTTTTATATATAAAATTATTACTTATCTCTAATTTGTTTTCCATACTTATCAAACATGGGATAATAATTATATATCCTTGTCTCACCTATCAATTCCCTATCTTTATCCTCCCTTCTTATCCCTCTTATTTCCATCCCTCCAACCAAACGCCCCGTAATAGTTTTATATATGTGGTTGACCACACTGTGTGGTCGAGGTTACTTATTCAGGGATTACTCGGTCAGTCGGGGATTACTCGGTCGGTCAGGTGTTACTCACATGGAAAATGCGTTAACTGACTAAGTAACCCCAAAATAAGTAACCCTTGACCGACTGAGTAACCCCTGAATAAGTAACCCTTGAATAAGTAACCTCGGCAAAAACGCGCTAACCAACTGAATAACCGTACCCCAGAATAAGTAACTCTTGAGGCCTTAATCGACTAAGTAACCCCTGAATAAATAACCCTAACCATACTGTATGGCTAGCCACCCAGAAAAAACATTTTTGTAGCCTATAACCAATTATACTACTTTTATTTTTCATTATTATGTCCTCAACTATATTTAACAATTATGTAAAACAGAATTAAAACAATTTTAATCTCATTTTTCAAGCAATAACATACTTAGTATATAATGGCATAACTTGACCCAAGAAGATACTAATGCTTACTTGTATAAGGGTTGTAGTATCGTTGATGTGTGCTGCTTGAATTACCAATTCTAGTGGGGTCTACTGAGTCGTTTAGGGCTTAAGGCCGGTGTACGTCCCTAATCCACAATCTACAATGCTTAAGCCATTAACAAAGCATAGTTCAATGAAGGAAGTTACTAACTTTAAGTCTCCTTAAGTAATAATTAAGAGGGAAAGATTAAATCATTCAAATAATATTATGAAAATGTCATTAAGGTCCTGTTTGGCGGTAGTGTTTAAGGTAACGATTAGTGTTTAGACTTTAGACTTTAGACCATGTCAAAACACTAGTAGGAAAAAATAAGTGTGTTTGGTAAGGTAGCGTTTCATGTAGCGGTTAGTGGTAAATGTAGCGTTTGGTCCTATTTGGCAAAAGTAGCGGTAGCGGGTAGCTTTCAGTGGTCGAATAGCGGGTAGCTGTTAAGGTAGCGAGTAGTTGTCAATTAGTAACGTAGTGGGTAGAGGTTATTTGTCAAAGTAACGGTCGATAGTATGAGTGTTTGGCAAAAGTAGCGCTTGCAATACTAAAATATATCAAATTCATATAAATATTGCTTAAAAAGTGATAAAAATTTACCAAACGCTACTCACTACTTCTAAACGCTACTGTTTTTAACGTTTGAGAAAAGCTACCCAAACGCTATCTCTATTATTAACCGCTATTAGAACCACTACCTTGCCAAACACTCTCAATTTATTTCTAGTAGTATTTTGACTAGTTAAAACGCTAACCGCTACCTCAAACGCCACCACCAAACAGGGTGCTTTGTCAAATGTTAAAAATATTAGCATTTATTTGAAAGGTAGTGGGTAGCTTTTGACAAATTTTGTTTACATTTTAATATTATGCATGGATTATGGTTGTATTTTAACATTTTAACCGCTACTTTTACCAAAACACTCATACTATTAATCGCTATATTGACAGCTAACCTCTACCCACCACTAATTGACAGCTACTCGGAACTCTAACAGCTATCCGCTACTTAACCGCTAAAAATAACCCGCTACCGCTATTTTTGCCAAACAGGATCTACATGTGAAATAAAACTATACGAAGTAGATGAAAACTACTTCGTAATTCTTATTTTCAGCCAAACAAGTTTCTCATCAAAAATCCATTTATATTGGAATTCCACTGATCAATAGTATATAGAAAGTTAATATTTCTTTTGTTAATTTTTAGTTGACATGAACCATTTCGATTCAGATTAGTGGATAAAACACTTCTTTATAAATGGGGAGAAAAGTTAAAAGACTCACAACCCCCCAAAAAATATCATAGAAGAGATATACATGAGTGAGCTGAACAAGCACAACATGAAAATGACTCGATCTAGTACGAGCCTACGACAAGCTTGACCGACAAGAAGCTAAACATGAAAATGGGCAAGAGCAATGCATGTACATCATCATTTAGAATTTGGTTTGAGCATGACTGGTCGACTTGCGAATCGTCTCGCTTTTTATTTCTAATTTATCAAAAATATAGAATCAATAAGGGGTTCATGAGGCCGGTATATGGCCCAAATCATGCATGGGCTCTATTTTTTAATGATTGGCATGAGCTCGACATGATACTACTTTTTTTTTTAACCCTATTTCAAGCAGGATCCTATTATGCTGATATAACACGTGGGCCTCCAAGATCTACTCCGTATCTAGCTTTACCTCCCATCAAATATTCCCGACATGCTAAGCTTCGTTTGGTAACATAAACATCACCATCCCAAGCATTCAACGCAAGAATCTTAAACCGCGTAAAAAATCACACCCATAAAACAGAATTAAAATCGTACACTCCATTCCCACGTTTATCCCAAAATCACAGGGCACCAAATTTCCTAATGAAGAATATCAAAAACTTCAAATTCCTAAATAGTTTCCATTTCAAGGCCGTAAATCACCCACTATTACCCCACGTGACGTAATCATTCAATCAATAAAAATAAAAAAATGCTGCGCTGGAACACTTAATACCTTCCACGTTGACCTTTTGCGATATCATCTTTCCAACAGTCCAAAACGGTCTGACAACTACCCAATCACGCCGTCCCACGTGGCCAACCCCGTTACTTTCTCATTAATTTGTTTTATTCTTCCCTTTTAATTCACCACATAATTAATTAATTATACTCCGTAATTAATTTCAGATATTTTTTTTTTGCATTATTCCAAAATAATCTCCGCCATCGCTCCAAAAATCCAAATTTTGATTCGGTTTTTCGTCGTTTTTTTTTCGAAATTATCCCCTAATTCTGTTTATAATTGCTTCTAGGGTTTCATTGCTTTCTCTCTCCTGTTATTTGTGAAGTATAAGCAAAGCATTTCAGTCTATTTTTTTTTTGTTGCAATTTGGTTCGAATTCTTCAATTTCGCCGGAATTCAGGTATTTTTCTTTGCATTTTTACAATTTTAATTTTGGATGTTTATTTTGTAATTCTTGAATTTGATATTGAGTAATTGTTTTAAAATTAAATTATTAATTTAAGATTAGTGAAAAATGTATAATTGCAGTATTATAGCTACATAGCTATTAGTTTAAAGTAATTTATGTGGTTTTTTGTTATTATAAAATGTTAAAGTGTTTATAAAGTGATACAGAAAGTTTTATTTCTTTGCCGTAAAGAATTTCTGTTCAGAATTTTGCAGATTTTAGTATTGTGAAATTTAGTCTTTTGTTTGTCAATTTTGTTGGCAAGAGTGATTTTCAAAATTCTGATAGGTGTAATGCAATATAGATGTTCAATAAGTTAGTGTTACGAAATTTGAGCAGTTAATTTTGATGAAGTATGTTGTAGGTGACGGTTTAGGGGGCAGAGGTTGGCTGGTTATTTTGTGTTGGTGATTTGATGAATGAAATTTTAGCAAAATACTTGTTTTGTAGTCAATCGTTAACGAATCACCTTAACACCTTAACGGAGCGTTGGTCGAAAGTACTTGTACTATTCATACATCAGGTTCCATTGTTGGATTAATGATTGGGAAAAAAATGACGAGGTTGCTGGTTCTTGTATTGGCATTCGTCTGTCTGAAAAGTCTAGAAAAAGTTGAGAATATGTTTCATGGAGAATTAAATCCCTATAAACTGTGATGCAGCGTCCACAATGATCAATATATTATCTACAGCCTTGAATTTTTGTCACTTGATAGATTCAGTTGAATTAGTGAGAGGATAACTGGATAAGTTTGACAGATTGCAATCTGCAATCTTTGTGCATAGGGGAGCTGTTTAGCAGACCAAGTTGTTCGAGTTCTAATCAATGTCTTCTAAATTATTGGCTCCAGCCAAAGTGAATTGTATGAAGGATCTAATTGTAGAGATATCGCCATTCATTTCCTTTGGCGAACATAAGAAGCAAAGATAAGGTGTGAATGTTGGGTTGCTCACTTACTGTGAGAAAAGTAAAGTCTGGATTTTAAAATAAACGCTTTATACAATTAGACAGGTACCTCATTCCTATTGCCAATATGAAAAGGAACATTGGATCCCCTTGTCTTCTCCATTCCTGAGCTTGAAATGGTACTGTAGGCTCCATGAGTAAGAATAAGATGCAAGACAACACTAGCCATCCCTAGAAAGACCATTCAGTGGAGTGAAGAGATTTTTTGAGATATTTTTTTCAACACACTAAGGTAACATATGGGTTTAGACCCTAGAGTCTATAGTACCCTTACATTAATTCAGTGGCAGCATAACATTCTGAAATTCATTAGACTCCTCCCCCATTACTGTGGAAGTAACAGTTTACTGAGATTAACTTATTACCATGGGGTAACACGCTATTGGATGAAGTTCTTCTACAATTTTCTGAGAGATTGCTAATTTTAGGAATTAAAGTTATGGGTTTCAATATACTTGATTGAGAAGAGTAGAGGAATGAACTATTTTACAACTACATTTTGATATTATCCCAAACTCTTGAATAAAAGAGAATTGAAGCCATCTATACCTGGGGAATCTGCATTTCATTTATTATTATACGCAAAGTCTGATTGATAATCCCTCTGCTCTAGACAGGAGTTATGCTCTAGACAGGCCCTTTTGATTAGTAGAAAAATCAACATAGGAAGAGAAGATGTTTTAGATAGTAAAAGCTTCTTATAAAGTCCGATAATGTCTTCTGGAAATCTTTGCGATCTTCTAATCACTCCCCTTAATCAGTATATAAAAAGAAGCAATCCTGTTCCTGCAGCCCAGCTTAAGCCATTGCACTGTTGGTTTGAATTCCCCAGCAGCCCAGCTTAAGCCATTGCACTGTGGGTTTTTGCTGCCTGTACTCTCTTCCCCATAAAGCTTCTAACATTCCAACTGCAGATATTCACTAAGTAAAGGATTAGTCTCTTTATGAAATACATGCACCAGTGTTTTTTTTTTTTTTTTTTTTTTTTTTTTTTTTTTTTTTGTTTTGTTTTGTTTTATTAATATATATATATTTTTAAAATATGAGATTTGGGGTTTGATTCTCATAGACAGGTAGATTATAATAGTTCTAACTTGACATAAATACTATAGGAGATTAGGAGGAAATCATTAATAAATTTTTGTAATACTCAATTTCTATATAGTGCTTATACCTCAATGTTCCTACCATTGGTTGATGTGTTTTTATTGGAAAATAGCTCTAATAGAGTATGACTTTTGATAAATAGAATTGATTTGAATCCACTTAGCTGTTCATATACTAGTAATGTACTTTTTGGATAATGTGCTAATTAGCTCTCCTGTTATTATCTCCTGATGCAATTCTTATACATTTTTTTTGGCAGCACCTGCAAATTGTAAGCTTTTGAATTCTGCACAGAACGGTCTTTCACAATGGCTCTATGATGTAAAAATATTTCTGATTTTCTCATTACCATGGTAAAATCTTCCTGATTAAGTGGTTTAAAATGGAGATATCTGCTCTGTTGACCTCGGCCGGGATCAATATAGGCATTTGTTGTGTGCTTTTTTCATTATATTCCATATTGAGAAAACAGCCAAGCAATAGAAATGTGTACTTTGGACGTAAATTGGCACAGATGCGATCAAAGCGAAGTGATCCTCATTGGTTTGAGAGATTTGTGCCTTCTCCTAGTTGGATTGTAAAGGCCTGGGAGACATCTGAAGATGTAATATTGGCTGCTGGGGGATTGGATGCTGTTGTATTTATGAGAATGCTTGTATTCAGGTGATTAATCTTGACTTTCATACTGATTTAAAGTTTTATAATATGTATATCAGACTGTCAGTATATGCTTCGTCTTTATTTGATCTACATTTTAACCATAGTTTTTTTTTTTTTAAAAAAAACTTTGTAGATTATATTAGGTGATTTCTATTGTACAATCGGTTGTAATTGTGCATGGTCCAACCAGGCTTTTTTTTTTTTTTTTGCATTGTATGCTAGTGATGGTTGAGCTGTAATATGAGCTGATAATTGGAGGGAGCATGAAAGACAAATTTGGAAAGAAGCTTTAGTTGAATTGTAAAATGTGGCCATGTTTATCAGCTATTAATAACTTCTTGATTGTTTGGTCCAACTTCGAAATGTGAAGTATGAAAAAATAGAGCAAATATGTAAATATGTAATGTAGTCTATTTTCTTGCCATTTTAGATAGATTACTGTTGTTTTCTCAAATGCCACAGGCTCTTTTTGATATGGTTTAGTATAACCTTTGAAACTAGACAAGTAAGGCATTCCAAGGGGAATTAGTGTTTTAATAATCACGCAGTTGCTGTAGTAGTGCTGTACTATATGTAACACGTCATTATTTTTGGTCTTGTACTTTTGTTCCCTGTTTATGCTCTCTGTTTTTACCCTTGTGTTTGAATCCTTCCCTTTTCTGATAAATGCTCCTATATATATAACCTATCTCTTCAATCTGATGCTGTTTAATTATTTATTGTGCAGTATTAGAATTTTCTCAATTGCAGCTATTGTGTGCACTGCTATTGTGCTTCCCTTAAATTATTATGGTCAAGAAATGCAGCACAAGTTCATCCCTTCTGAGTCGCTGGAAGTGTTTACCACTCAGAATGTTAAAGAAGGTTCTAGATGGTATGGTTGCATCTTCCTATCTAGTGTAGTTGCATCTCTTTTTTGCCTTTTTCTGGGTATGCAAAACAAGATTTATGATTCCTTTAATCTAACGTTTATAAAAGTTTTATAAAAAAACATCTATATAGTGTTTTTTCCCGGTTTTTGATACAAGCACATACACGCATATGCATCAAATGGTATTAGTTAAAAATTTTATGACAAAATGACGCATTGGTCAATTTTCTTAATGCTTAGTTGGTGCGTAATGTTTCTACTTTTAACTTCTTATACTCGATCCTTTGGGATACATTAATCATTTTCCATATATTTTTTCTGTTGAGGCCCTTGGGGATTTAGGGGTTTCTTTTTAACTTTACTTTTGGGGTCGGGGGTTATTGTTGATGTTGATAATTTGGGATGAGGTGGTGTTGAGATCCTCTCTTACCCACTTTTGTGAGTAGATAATTCATTTTCACATATTATTTTTGGTTGAATAATGGCAAAAAAAGTTTTATATTTAGGCTGATTTTTCCAACAAAAAAAGATTATAGTATTTATCTTATATGCTGCTATTTAGTGTAACTGTTACTATTGTTTTCTTTTTCAGGCTTTGGGCTCATTGTCTTGCACTTTATATCATTTCGTGCTCTGCGTGCATTCTTCTCTACTTTGTAAGTATAAATAATCTTGGGTATTTCAAAATTATAGGCCACTTGCCCTTAATTCTTAATTATATTCTCTTAAAATATTAAAACATTAATTATATTCTTCTCTACCTTATGATTCATCCCAGTGTATTTTGCAACTTTAGTTTATACAAATTTGAGGAGTTCTTGTTCAAACTTGCTATTTTAACGCATCATATGAAGACATGATGCATCACATAAAGATGTTGATCCTTTAGACTGCAAAAAGATGACTACAAATGGCTTACAACAATAACAAAACCATTGCCCAAAAAATAATGAGGTTGGCTGCATGAATTATGACCTATCTCCTATGGTCATCCACATGGATCCATTTTTCCATTCACATGATTTATGAATCTATCTAGTGCTCCATGCTTTTGCAAACCCTTTATTGGTATTTTAAGCTTTTTAATTCCCACTATTCAAGGTTTTTTTTAATTTTTTTCTTTTATCTTTGTTTCTTTTAAAATCTTTATTATCCCAATCCTCCATCTTCAATACCAGTGCATCCTGATTGATGTTTTACATTCTCATACCAATGTAGATTTTCTCTTTATCTTATTTTCAATGTCCGCAACTTGAATTTTTTTGTTGAATATCTACATTCCAAACTTTATCTGTCAAGGTGTTCTCACACACCCATCTTAACATACAACACCTCTGCTACACTCATCCTCTTACTATGCTCCTTAAATGCCTAACACTTTAACTTGTATAATAATGTGGTCTAATTGCTTTGCAGTCTTATGTAAATTTTCTTTTAACATAAAAGACATGCTACAATTGCTCAATAACCCCATTGTTGTTCTCTATTTGGGCCACCTAGTCTACGAGTTACATCTTGATCGATATCTCCACTTCTGTGTGAAATTGATTCGAAGCTTTTAAAACATTCAATAATGGGTAACTTTTTTGTCATCAAATGTCACACCACACTTTTATTTGGTTATACTTCAACTTAGCGCAAATTTGTTTTTTTCTTTTTCTCTAGCTTTTGTCTAAGTACTTAAAGCATATCTTTGTTGTAATTAATTTGTAATAAGGTAATCCTCTGTTACTCCTCCACAAGATATTTGTTTTACTTGTATACACATACCCTTAACCAGGTCAATATAAAGTTAAAAAACTTAGTAGAAAATTCTTTTAGTAAAACATATTAATTATTGGGCTATAGTTTGGATTGTACAATATAACAATTGTGGCCTACTATTATGATATAGAGTTTGTACCAAAAATTCATTGGCTACTCTCTAAATCTGAATGTTTATTTGTGTATGTACAATTTTGAAAGGGTTTTTCTCACTAGTAGCTGCTAATTTCCTTCAGGAGAATAAAAGTATTATTAAGAGGCGCCTTGCATACATTAAGGGATCTTCTCAAGATTTAAGTCAATTTGCTGTACTTGTTCGCGGGATACCTTGGTCTGCAGAAGAGTCATATAGTGCTTCATTGAAGAATTATTTTACGAAGCATTATCCATCTTCTTATCTTTCACACCAGATGGTATATCATTGTGGAAAAATTGAGAAGCTGATGGTATGTTGACTTATAAGTAATACTGTAAATAGTATCTGGCTATACAAATCCTTTTTCATTCTTTACAAGTTTTAAATGCGTGATCTTGATAAAAAGCGTGATCTTGATGCTTGCATGCCGTTAAGTAGCCTTTTATGTACATATAAATGTTTTTTCTTGCAAGTGATTTCTATACAACCCTTCCTCCTTTATCTTAGTAGCTATCATTTCTTTTCCTTTTGTCTTAATTTTCTTATTTGATCTTCTTTTTTGGAATACCTTGTGTTTGTTGGAGGTGTGCATGTGATTATGATGGCATATTTTGGGGACTTGTTCTTAGAGAAGTTGTATATCCTGAAGATTTTACCTGGTGGGGTACATGGCTACACATTTGGAGGGTGTAAGAGATAGATAAGATGATTTTAACGGAATTTAGGGAGAACATAGGCATTTGGTACTTTGATGGAAATGAAGTTCCTGATCATAATTGGTTTCCAGTACAGCCGACCCAAGATTCATCAAAATGTCTTTAATTGTGCCCAATTATACTAATACCATCAACTTCAGTACTTGGACCATCCTTATTATATTTGAGGATGACTATGCAAGCTATTTTCCTTTTTTAGACTTCAGTGATTGCACAGCACACTTATTAGGACATAGTAGGAAAATTGCTTTAAAATTGGTAATGGTGTGCGGGGGTTGGACACTTGGACTGTAATTGAAAAAATTATTATGACTGTCAAATTTTAATTTTCCTGTATATGACCAATTTTTTCCATCCTTGATGTGTTTGATACTTTGATATAGTTAATGTAACAGATCCTACGGAGAAAAGTGCAATCATAGAATAGATAATTATCCACTTTATAGCGTATTCTGGATCTGCTGTCCTTATCAGTTGACTGTTGTATCATACTATGTGAATTTGGTTTCTTCTCGACAAAATTATGAAGTCTTTAAGGGTTCAGATAGGTTCTGGTCTTATTGTGCAACTTTTGAAGCATTTCATTTTCTTGAAAGTGTTTATGTTAGTTTGCTTTATTTTTTTTATCTTTATCATTTGCTGGCTGTCCTTGCAGTTTCCTACCAAAATGTAACCTATTTGACTGGTATTTAACATATTTGATGCAGAAAAATGTCAGGGAGATGTACGATGTTCTCTATCATGATAGCATTCCTTCCTGTCACTCATGTGGTCTTCCAGGTGGAGGGCGTCCTAATGTATTCAACATTCTTGTTAATGAACCAGAAGTCATTGAAAAAGGGAAGCTTGATTTGCAAGACTTGCGTGATAGAGGAAAGGTTAGAAATGATAATGTCACCTGTTATGCTACTTTAGTACAGCTGTGAATGTGTTTGATTTCTACTTTCATCCTGCTCACTTTCTATTTAGCAATAATTATTGCTGAAACAGTTTTTCTTAATTATATTCTTGGTCCTATGCTTATTGATGCCTAACTTTATATTGGTAGAAGACGACTTGTTCTCTCTTGAGATTGGTGGTGGGGTGGGAGGTGTGTTTCTTGACCTGTAGCAGAGTATCCTGAATTGATGAAAAGGAAGGCTTTATGCTCTATATTTTTTTTGATAAACACTAAGATAGTTGATTAAAATTTGGTAGATGTACCATTGGTTAAATGAACATTTGAGTTAGGGCGTGATAAATGTCCTTGGGGGTTGGGTACACCATGTTCACTTCATCACATGTCGACTTGAGATAAAGGTAAAATTAGTTTGACATTACCTGTATAGTAGGTAAGATAGGATCCAAATTTCTATCAGCTGTTGATATGGTGGGTTATAGGGTATAACCTTAATCCTGCCCCATCAGGCTGGGCCAATTGGTCTCTCTCCTAGTATAACAAGTCTTTTCTGTCTCCTATCTCTCCATCACTATGTTGTACGTAAGCTATCAAATAGTTGCGAATGTAATCCATTTGATGGAGCAAAGTAAATGTCATAATATCACAATATCAAGTATTATTCTTGGTAGAAAATTATGGTGATATTAGATGGGTATAGGGTCATTTTTGTCAAAACTAATGAAGTAATGTATATTGTTTGATATTGTATCAGGCAATCGTAACAGCTGTCATTATTATCACCATAGCAAGAAGGTTGCTTTACCCTCATAGTAAGGACAATTGATTGTAAAGATATACTCTTATTTGGATGGGAAATTCTAGCTCTTGATGGCTTCATCATTCCTCAATGAGTATGGACTTAGACTCAGCCATTTTCCTGCCAAAGTAATGACCATATCACTAGAAAATAAACAAAAATCCACTTGGAGTTTGGGATTTTTAAAAGATTTTGAGCTGTAGTGATAATACAAATGCGAAAACGAATGTCATTGTCTGGTTGTAAGAAGCTTTATGTGAAGCCTACTCATTCCAATGCAGGATTTTTTACATAATCTATGCTTGTCCAACTTTCATAAAACTAATGTTTTTAACTTTTTATAGATGAAGGAAGAACTCAGTCTTTTTATAGGTCTTATAAGAATTTATGCTGTAATAGGATTCTTTTGACCCCAAACCTTTTGAATTCTTAGCTATCTCTTTAAGTAATTAATTAGCTTTTTTTTTTTTTTTTTTTTTTTTTTTTTTTTTCCTTTCTGAATTTAGCAATTTTTTCTAGTGGCCTGCAAAGCATAGCAAGTAGCAACCTACTTAACAATGTGTTGTTCTTATTATTTAGGATTTCTCTTTTTGTTTATTCATGACTTCTGCTTAATTGTTGTGTAATTGTGGGTTTGGGGAAAAGAATAGTTTAATTTTATTGGAGTTTTAGAAAAAATTTCTGGTGATATTATGGACTGGACCAGTGAAAGAAAAGTCAGCAGCCACTGCAGTTAGTCAATGAAGGGCTGTATTTATTAGTTGATATCTGATGCTAGTGTTAAATGTTAAAAGGTTTATTAAAATTCCCTTGCTTGAATTCCAGCCAATGCTGGACTATGAAGAGCTATTTTCACTGGGAATTTTGTCCAAGGTAACCCTGAGGTGTTTTATATGCTTCCTTTTATTATTATAATAATTATTAGTCACAGAATTTCCATCTAATGACTATTATCTGCTGTTTGTCAGTCTTACCACCCCTCGCATCCACACAAATAAAAAACAGCATTTTTAAAAAAAAAAAATTATTGTGTTATCAGGAAATTCTGGGTGAAGAACATCATTGATTATATTTGATGCAATTCTTGGATTAAGTATTTTGTTGAATTTCCTTCATTTTTAGATAATCATGTGGTACTTTTTGAAGTAGTTATCACTTCTTTTTACAGTTTATCTGCTTCTATTGTTCCAGGAGTGTCCATCTGCTTTTGTATTCTTTAAAACCCGCTATGCAGCTGCTTGTGCTGCACAGGCTCTTCAGTCATCGAATCCTATGTTGTGGGTCACGAATCTGGCCCCAGAGCCACGTGATGTATATTGGCCAAACCTAGCTATTCCATATAGGCAATTCTGGTTGCGAAGGACAGCAACTCTTCTGGCTACTGCGGCTTTTCTGGTCTTTTTTATCGCTCCAGTTACTCTTGTACAAAGTTTGGCTAATTTAACGCAGCTCCAGCAGGCGTTTCCCTTTTTGAAAGGACTGCTAAAGAAGTAAGTGACATGATTTTATAAAAAGATGTTTTTAAGTTCAGGTTGAATGTTAAATTGAATAATGTAATTCATTGATGATAAAACAAAACAGTAGACGAAGAGATTTAGCATCACTATGTTTTGTCAGGCAATGCTTAATTTAGGGGCTTGCGCTAAATTGGCCCTGCGTATGTGCAACGCTGCTAATAGTTTGAATAGTGAAAATTCTTTAGTATGCTCGTTGGACAACAGTGGAAGATTTCTCTTCTCCAGCATTCTGTGTTTGTATGGAGATGAACTCTGAAAGCTGAATTTTGTCTTCTTATTTTTGAAGGCCAGAAAGGCATAACATTTTTTAAGTGTTAATTCCTGTGATCTCCATAAAAAATGCTACACATGACATAATAGAATATGGCATCATTTGAAGTAATATATGTTTTTGGCTTGTAGCTGTTTGCAGTTGTGGATCTGGCACCCATTTGTCACCCTTTTGTCCATCAAAAGGGCTGCTGAAGGCTGCATTGCTTGATCAAATAATTTTTGGTAGTGAATCATTGATAATTTGATAGTACATCATTTAGTACTTATTTTTTCTTTTTGTTTCCTTTCCTCAGGCCGTATGTAAGCCAGCTGGTTACAGGGTACCTACCCAGTGTCATACTGGTGTTGTTTTTTTACACCGTCCCACCATTGATGATACTCTTTTCAACAATTGAGGGGTCAATTTCTCGTAGTGGGAGGAAAAGGGGTGCATGCTGCAAAGTCTTGTTTTTCACCATCTGGAATGTTTTCTTTGTTAACATTGCATCTGGAACTGTGCTCAACAAATTGAATGTCTTTTCCCAACCAAAAGACATTCCTCTACAACTAGCAGCTGGAGCAGTGCCTGCAGCGGTAAGTATGTGTTGTTTTCGTTTTATAGTTCTTTTTAGTTGCAGATCCCTCCTTGCTATCACTTTTTTCTATTATCATTGTATTCTTCTAAGTATCTCCTGTGTCTCATATTGTAGCATATCTCAGTATAGCTAACAAGCTTTACACAGCCTTAAAAAGTTTTTTTTTTTTTTTTTTAAATATATACTTGTATATTTTTAATTTTTTCTGAGAATCTAAGTACCGATGTTTGGTCTGAGTTTGTGTCATTGGTTGTGCATTTAAAGAGTAATAGCTCTGTTACATGGACTCAGGTACTCTTGCGTGACTTGGCCTTTTTATAAAATTTTCATGATTTTGGCTGGAGATGAAGTGTCAAAATGTTCTACCATACCAGAGTTTCAAGAATGTAACACTAGTACTTGAGTCCAAGTAACATAGATAGAAACAACCATTTTGGGTAGGGGTGAGGGATGGACCTGAGTTTCATTATTCTGACCAGAAATGATCAAAGATTAGTTTCTAAAGTTTATTTAGGATGAAAATTGAATAAGGATTTGAGAGTTTCGAATCTGGTATTAATCATGAGGGCTGTTTATTAAGAAAACATTTCCTCATATGACATTTGATATCTCCTTAGAATCTAGGTTACTTATGTGAAGGGACTGAAGGGTGTGTTCTTGTCATCTAATTGCTCTTCTTTCCTCTGTTAAATTTCTTATCTTACAAGAAAATAATCTTAAATTGAGGCGTATGACATGAGTTTGAGGGAAATATGCAAGGCACAGGGTGAGATTTGCTAATACAAGTATATGGTTGCTCATTGAGTTTTGGAGGTTTCAGGCTCAACTTGTGGAATTATGCTGCACATTTGTTGTTTGATTTCCTGGACTTGCTTTGGCAAAACCCTCTTGTGCAGGGTTACTATGAGTTGGCTATCACAGGCATACATTTTTATATGTTTTTTTTAAAGCCCCTTAGCAATCTGCATGGCTGCTCAGCTTGTGTAACTGTTCATATTTTGTTTCATAGGAAAAAAGGTTTCATTTAGATGACACTGTACAGATTTAGTTATCGGTTTTAGGCTGCTCATTTGGAATTTAGGGTGCTCATTTGGAAGCTGTTGGTTCGACATTTGTAAATAGGCTGCATATACCTTGCATGCCTTTCTTGACTGGCATTGGTTGGACCCTCCTGCATAGGGTTCTATATTTATAACTCTTTATTATTTACTCTATCAAATGCTATGAATTGCATATGTTTAGCATACTAGTTTATTAAATGCCTTAAATATAAGTCCTGTCAGCATGCATGCTCTACAAATTTTACTGATTTTTTTCTCTCACGTTGTTCTAAAGTTTATTAAAGATGATGTAGCAAGGGTTTGTCTTATTTTTACTCACTAAAACTATGCAGGTCAAGTTCTTTATGACTTATGTCTTGACATCAGGTTGGACCAGTTTGGCATGCGAAGTTGTGCAACTCTGGCCTCTTCTCTGTAACTTCATCTATAAGTTCATCCTCAGAAAGGATCATGGCCCATTTGATGGAGAGTACACCTTTCCGTATCATTCTGAAGTACCTAGAGTCCTTTTATTTGGACTTCTTGGTTTAAATTTTGCAATCTTGGCTCCTTTGATGCTGCCATTATTGCTGATTTATTTCTGTCTTGCTTACCTCGTGTACAAAAATCAGGTATGCTTTCTTTTTCCTTTTTTTTCCCTCTAAAGTCACATTTATTTTTCCTTTTTTTTAGTAATTAGTTCATGGAGTTTTTCCTCATGATGCAAAATGCTTCCCTATTGTTATTGGTGTAAATCCTTTTTCTTTCATCTGCATTCAGAACTGATTTAAAAGTTTATAGGAAGCAAATGATAAAGAATTAAAGATAAACCTCTAGGAAAATTGTTCTCTCGCATTAATTATTGTATGCAAGATATTGGAAGAATGAAAGTATAGAAATAAGGAAGAAGAGAATTCAGAGAAAAATGGATAATTGATTGTAACTTGGTGCAATTAAATCATCAAATGATGTTTACAAGCCCAGGTCTTAGAGTTGCTGGACAGTCCCAATATCCCAACTACAAGCTAAGCTAAATTAAAAACACTTCACAATTTTTTTGATTCATTTGGTCCCTCATCGATCTCCTTCTTATATAGATATTCATTCTGCTTTATTCTCCCTCTACTCTGGTAATTTGAATCAATTAACTCATCTAGATATCACATGGGATCTTGCTGTATTCGTGTTGATCTGTATTATCGAAATATCAATTTTATTTATTTTTTATTAATATGTAATCAATGATAATAATAGCCAAAGATTTTCATTAAAGACCATGTAAAAGGCATATGAGTAGGACTTAGGAAAACAGAGGGAGTGCCTCTCAGCTTATTCCCCAAGCTGCCACATAATAGAATTCTGTTGTGCTTCCCTTATTATCCTTCCCCTTTGGACAAGTTCATTACATATCATGTTATTTCTTTTCTGCTGGTTTCTTTTGGGTTGGAATATGTGGTTTGTCTTATGAATTGGCATTTGAACATGATCATATATGCTGATATGCATCATAATTCATAACAACTTGCTTTAATTTGAACTGATGTATCCTTTTGCACATTAATTTTTTTTTTTCAGATTCTCAATGTTTATATCACGGATTATGACAGTGGTGGTAAATATTGGCCAATTGTCCAGACCTCAACAATATTCTCTTTGGTGATGGCACAAATCATAGCTATGGGAGTCTTTGTGTTGAAGAAGTCGACAGTATGCTTAGGATTCACTATTCCATTGGCTATATGTACACTCTTATTCAATGAATATTGTAGGCGGAGATTTCTCCCTGTGTTCAAAAACATTGCTTCTGAGGTAACATATTTGATGTTTGTGGTGCTTATCTGTACCCCTTTATTATTGTAATCACAAGGTGTAAACAAGAAAATATGAATTTGATGGATTGCATAATTGCAGGTTCTTATTGATTTGGATCAGCAAGATGAGGAAAATGGGAGGATGGAGGCTATATATCAACGGCTTCAATCTGCCTATTGTCAATTGGAATGGCTTGCATATGGTGGTTCCAGACCAAAAACAAAGTACTTGTGTAACGATGAAGACATTAGGCACACTCAAGAACTTAAGCCAGGTCTGTCCTGTTATTCCTTTTTTTTTGGCATTGAGAATTTTATTGTACTTGTATCGATTCTTTAGCAACTAATGCATGAATCTGACATGTTTTGTTATTGCAGAAATTGAATTTAGTCGAGAAATTACATCAGATGAATCTGTAGATAGACCAAGGCCTACAAATCACAAGACGGAAGTCGAATCCAGTCCAATTAGATAGTACATCATTAGGCTATATTGATTATTTGATTGCTTTTATATTCTTCTTCCATTTTTGATCTTCTGGAAGTGTATAGTGGTATAGACGTATAGTGGTCATATCTGCTTGAATCAAGGCTTGTAAGAGCAAGTTGATTCACAATATATTTGTATAGACTTTGTATAGGATTTGAGGCAATACTTTTGTTCTCTGCTTCTTTTGTTCAATTATACAAACAAAACTGTGCATTCCTCCACATTACTAGGTTGCAATTTTCTTTTCTGGTTTATAGAGATCCTTATATGTTATATACAAAGAAAAAAGGAAAACAGAAAAAGAGTTTACAGATTATAATTTACTTTTGCAATTTGGTGGCTCTTCGGCTTTTGTTTTTTTTATGCGGTGCTAGTGTTGTATTTTTCAATTTTTTTAGTGTGATTTGCTGCTTATTGTCTTTTATTATATGTGATACATCAGCATGGACATTGCTTTACTGCTTCATTAGTAAAATTTCCTATGTGAATTAAACACAATAAAGCTTAACCCAATACAGTATAAGTAGTTTTTAACACAACCAAACAATACTTGGTCAACTCTAAAATAAGTAGTACTTGATTTAAAGGTAAGAAAATGTATCTTACAACCATAAGATAGGATTAATATCCACTAGGGATAACATGGAGAGTCACATCCAAAGAGCTTTTAAGACAAATTTGTTTCTCGTTGAAAATGAGATATTGTGCTAATAAATATATGTAGTATATACATCCAAAGAGCTTATAAGACAAATGTGTTTCTATATACATCCAACATATTACCTTCCTCGAATCTATTTAGTTGCCTCAATTTGATTTGCCATTGTGTACACTCTTTCAACCATCTTTATAATTTATGCATAGAAATTGTACTTATTTCTTAGGTTCATTTCAATTCTCAGATATAATATAAAAATATCAACTTCTTCTATTAAAAAGGAAGAAAAAAAAAACCTTTCTTGTGCAATTTATAACTATAAGTATTACAGAGTAATAGTTAATTAACACATGTAAGTAACGTGTCAACTAAAATTCAGATCACCTGCATTATTAAGAAAACAAGCACAATATTTTAGTAATCACACACATTTCTTTTTATGAGAATTTATTATATTATTACAATGTATAACAATCTAACATCAAAACACAAACGACCCTTAAAAAAAAAAAAATACAAACGACCCCATCTAATGACTTGACGTGACGATCTTCCGTGCATGGCGTCGTGATCATCCGTCTTCGTCTTGGTCGTCAGTCGTCAACAAATAATCCTCATTTATTAACCAATTTCTCCTTTTTTTTTTTTTTTTTTTTTTTTAAAAAAAATCCAAAAACCCACAAATAAATTAATTTCACCTATAAATACCCTAAACCTTTCACCACTCGTCAGTTCTCACCCCACAACCCCATTTCAGAGGAGAGAGAAACTTGACAAAAAAAAAACCTCCATTCTCCCAACAATGGCGGTTACCATCCATGAAAACCCACCTCCATCCCACAAAGTCCGGCACTACACCATCACCATCTCCTCCGCCCACACCATCTCCACCACCGTCACCTCCCACCCCGGCGCCGCGCGCGACTGGATCCACCGCACTCTTTACCACCACCGCCGTAACCGGCACCGTCTCATCATCGGCCTCGGCGTCCAATGGACTCCAAACACAATCTCCCTCATCAACAGCCCCGCTTCCACCATCCAGCTCTGCATCGGCTCTCGCTGCCTCATCTTCCAGCTCCACCACTCTCTCTCCTCCCCCCGCATCCTTCGCCGCATCCTCTTCGACCCTCGTAACACCTTCGTTGGTTTATGGAGTCACTCCGATGCTGCGAAGCTTCTGGAGTGTGATCATAAGCTTGAGATGATGAAGGGTATGCCGATTGATCTCAGGAATCATGTGTTTGACCAACACGGAAGGTCGCTTCAAGGTGGTTCGATTGTTGAAATTGCTGCTCAAGTTCTGAAAGTTGAGATTGAATGGGATCGTGAAACTTCTATGAGTGATTGGGAGGTTCATCAGCTTAGTCGCTGTCAAGTTCGCCAAGCTACTGTGGATGCTTTTGTTGCTTTCGCCATTGGTATGGATGTTCAAGCTTGGAAACTTAACGATTATATCTGATTTTTAAATGTCATATATAACCCCACTTTTTTTTGTTTTTTTGTTTGGTAATTAAGTAGTAATTAATTATTAATTAATGTGTTGGATGTTTTTATGTTATCCTAATTTTTAGCCTTCTAGGGTTTGTTTGGATGACGGGGTTTTTTATCTTGGTTTGATGTAATTTTTGGTTTAGGTGAAAACTGCCATTTTGATGGAATTGTGCGTAGCACCAAAATCCGACATGTTAATTTGTAATTACGAATCTAACTTTTATCCATCCGTTTTCCTCGTACAGTAATTGATTAATTGTAGCTTAGATATTTCATGTGGGATTTTTTTTTTTTTTTTTTTTTTTTAAAATGTAATGTTTCTAAAATCAAAATGTAAGAACAAGTGAAATAAATAAGCGTTGTGATTATTTAAGGATAATCTTGTGGAATTGTGTTGAATATAGTACAATTTGTGTAAACCCTTAAAAAATTTAAAGGGATGAATGGACTAATAGTTAAAAGCATGATTCAAAAGTCTTCAATAAACAAAAAATAAAAGGAGTAAAAAATATTTCTTATAAAAAAATCCTTTCATTATCTTGGTTTGATTCCTCCCAACATGAATTACTCCCATGATCCGTCTAGTTTCCAAATCAGGCTCAAATTGTCCAGTGTCCACAGCCAATTTTGGTATACTGGACAAAGTTATGCATCCTTCAAAGTCTACTCAATATATGGCCTTAGACTGTCATTCAACAAATCAAATAGTAGATCCTTTTATTCACTTTTGGCCAAAATGTTCCCAACATCTGTTGTGGAAAACATGAGAATTGTCCTAAAGTTCTACTTGTATATATGTTGATCTCATCCATTAATGCCGAATATCTCACCATATCAGCTTTTGAACCTATAAAACCAATTTATTATGTTTATGTGCTTACAAGTTTATTACAAGAATTGAAATATTCATACATGATTACACACTTACAATATACACAATGTGTGTGTGTATGAAAAAAATGCATTTTTGCCTCCTTAGTAAACCAAGTTAGAGTTCATCATTTAAGATTGTTTATAGCTTATGATAGAACATACTAGTTTTAGGCTCTATTCTTATAAGGGCGCTGGATATCCAAGCTCAAGTTACAACAAAGAGTGCATTATGTTCACTTATTAAAAATTATCTTAAGTTTTTGAATTTAATAGAACTTATTTCAAATTAAATTGAATATAGTTAGCCGCCCTTATTAACTTGAATTTCAATTATCTGAATTTATCTATTTGAACTGGTTTTAGTCATAAATTTAACTTAGTTATCCCTCACTAACCTTTGTAGAGGTGTAGGTATTATCGAAGCTTTTTAAAAAAAAATATATATATTATGGTGAGTTCTACTCATCTACTTTTCACTTTTAAATCTATCTTATCTTAAACTATACACAAGGGCCTAATCCACAAACTTCAATTAATTTTATAAAAATGAAAATTAGGAAATCACCCTAATTAAATGAATACTCAACTCCACTCCACTCCACTCTTTTCTCCCTTCCTTCTGTTTCTCTTTGCGTACTTGACAAGCTTTTATTTTACATTATTTAACCAACCATTTTCTCTTTAAAAAAAAAGAAAAATGAGTCACCATTACAAACCGTTCTCTCTCTCTAAAACCTAACCCACAACACAAACAATGAACCCAGACTCCATAACCATAAACCCCAACCGCCAAGCTTACACCGTCCAATTCTTTTCCACACCGTCGTCACCTCCACCCCCACTGTCGCACGGCAGTAATGGGTCTACACAACCACCGCCGTGCACTCTACACTTCTTCCCTCACCATCGGCCTCGGCGTTTAATGTTAAGTTCTGGCTGCAACATACAACTTACAACCATATTAGATTTATGCTCCGTACAACACTACATATCTATCAGTTAAATATTGTTGACATATTGCTATCTAAATTTGCGGAGACTTAACAATTTCCCAACTATATAATGATGTTGATTTCCTTGATTGAGTATTAAAACTAAACTTAATGTCATATCTTAAATTGCCTACATATAACCAAAATAATGCTATACAACATTGTATAAGTCCAATACTATTTAATGGACCTACAAAAATACTACACAAAACCTAAAACAAGTCTAACAAACAACAAAGAGGTAAGGTCGGATGGAGATATGTATATTACCACACATAACATATTGGAGTAGAAAGTATTACACAAGTAATTTTGTAGATTTCCTTAATTATAAAATTATAATGGATAAAATGAAAATAAAAATCAAAAGAAATTTGTCATATCTTTTTTTTTTTTTTTTTTTTTTGGTCAAAACATCCATACAAAAATAATATCTTTCATTCACTTTTATGATTAGTAGAATTGATAACCTTGTTTATAAGGTATTAATATTAGATAAAAATTTCCATACCGTGTTAATAATCACTTCTTTTTTAAAAAATAAAAAAATAAAAAAATTTCTCGCGCATTAACACAAGCTTATACTAGTTTATTTATTTATTTAAAAGATACTCGTAACTTGGTAAGTAACATTTGGAATAGGTTTCCAGTATTCTCCTTAACATCCACATTGATGACAACAGGCCTTTCCAGTCGGCCAACATGATCCGATACCACAGCAATAACATGTGCCCAGACCTGGGCAGCCCTTTGGTTGCGGATTACATTCTTGTACAACTATTAATTTTCTGCTCATCATCTTCAATCCCTCTCCATTTTCAGCATCACTAATTATTCTATTCCTTTCGCCGTCATTAACATCACCTACATACATTCACAAGAAAATTATTCAATTATTTAGACAGTTTTATAAGTGTATAAGAAGTTAAATTAACTTAAATTACAAAAAGTATATACACGTATGTGACAAATAAACCCTTTTCTTTTAGTTCTTTGAAAAAGATTAGATTTTAATACTTCATGTAAAGTAGGAATTGAAGAACACCTTTATAGTGCGCCATGATTAGGAGAGAAAAAAAGATGAAAAAAGCCAAAAGGGTGATTCTTGATCTGCTTCCATTGCTCTTAAGGAGTATTATTAACGAATTAATTAAACAATCTGATTTAAGGATGAATGATTTAAGTGAGTACAATACATTGTGTGCTAAGCCAGTTTTCAATTTATAGCCTGAGTACTTTGTACTTTTGAAATGTCAAGATTTTCCTAGCTATGAAATTAAAGAAACTATAAAAAAAAAAAAAAAAATAATGAAAAGAGATATATAGGAAACAACATTATACTAGTAAATAAGGAGGGATTCTCAAAATAATATTGATATTGATTTTGAAAAGGCCGGAGTCGTACTAGGAAGGAAGATCACTAAGATTAACATATATATTTAATAATGTATCATAGAATATCAACTAGTATAGCACCCGTTAAACATCAAATGCACATAAAATATAAAGTATAACCAATTTAATATAGTAACAAACTAACAATGGATACCTTTTACGTTAACATAGTTCTTATTAATATGAAATAATATTTATTGTCAAAATAGTCAAATTGAATATCAACCCATCTAATGATGTTATATCAATCAATCAATAATCAATAACTATATACTAAAAGACACATCATCAATGACACATGTCATCTTCTGGTGTGTCCTTTGTATTTTCTTCCAAAAAATTGATAGTGAATATACGCAATATATTTTCTTCCAAAATTTAGGAAAAAAATCGTACAAAAATATATTTACCAATTTAGATATCTTATCATATATTTATATAAATTCCTATATAAGTAATTACTTTTTAATGTATAATGATTATTTATAGTAAAAAAATCATGAATATATATCTTTCAACCTAACATAATTAGTGAATGAAAAATTATCAAATGTGAAAAAAAAAAAATACCGTCAAGGTTCAAAATAGAAGAAAGCTTGCAATAATAAATATATATTTTAAGTTGCTTGATTTGGGATAAAACAAGAAATAGATTTTGGACCAAATAAATTATTTTATATATTTAAATACAGTTTTAAATTAATACTCTGTAACAAAGAGTGAAAAACCGTGCATAACCGTGAAATACCTAGTTACATATATTATCTAGTAGTGGATAAAATGAAAAGTAAAAAGGGAGATTTAATTGGAATAAGATTTCACCCCCTTTATATTTTGTTTGTTACATCCTTTTGCAATTCACATTCATTGGTTCTACTTTTCTATTCTATACATATATTTTTTTAAAGAAGACCAAAATAAAGAGATAATATAAGTTATTAACTTTTCCCCCGTTAAATAGTGTAAATTAAAAATTAAGCAATAATATAACTTTTCCCCCATTAAATACTAATAGAGGTTAAATTGTGTAAATTAAAATATATGCAAACTAATGATAAATAGTGAAAATTATCGTGCATGAACGATTTGTCAATGTGGTGTTGAAAAATAAAGAAATTACTAGAATAGTGTTCACCTAAAAATATTTCTCAATTTAGTGTCCATGTAGGTTTGGAAATTACGAACCTAGGTTATAAATTAAAAATTATTGAAGAGAAATTTTTTTTAATAAAATCCTAATAAATTTGTATACCATCAAATTTATTTATTTATATTTTTTTTTCTTTTTTTTTATTTTTAACACGAAGAGGGTTCCTTTTATTAATTACTCAAACCTTAATCAAGGAGAACATGAGGTTACAGTTGGTGGGATTTCTTCAGGCCAAACTTTCATTTATGCATAAGATATATCTTTATCAAGTCAAACATCATCTTTATCTTAAATAATGCTTACGATGTCTTAATTTTTTTTTTTTAGCATTGAGCCTCATCAATTCATCATTAATGCTTTTGTATATTATTAATAGTAAAAATGGATATAAGCACTATGGAATATATGAATATGATGTACTAATATAAATGTTTAAATAATTTCTTGCATTTTTTTTTATAGCAAGTAACCAAGAATATTAGAGCAACTCCAATGGTTGTAAACTTGTAGCTAGGGACTTGCTTGCAATATTAAATAATCCCTAGCTAGTACATTGGAGCTAGAAAATGCAATTAGCTTGGTTAAGCAAATTAGCTTTGGAGAAAAACTTACCTATTTATATATGTGTGTGTGTGTGTGTGTGTAAGGAATCAATAAAATGAAATATAAAGAGTTAATTAAGGAGGTGGGATTCATTTAAATTGTAAGCTAATTGCTAGCCATCGGAGCTCAAAGTAACTACAATGACAATTAACTTAAAAGTTTATGTGGCATGCCAAGCTACACGTCAAATTAATTTCATGTCAAATTAGCTTGTCATTGGAGTTACTCTTATTAAGCTAAGCTAGAAATATCTAGCAAAATAGCAAAGCTAATACAAGAAGGATACTCTTCCACCCAAACTCTCAAATCCTCATAGTTTCTACTATTTTGAGCAAGTTTGTGGGCAGCCACATTCCCACATCTTCTGAGTTGCGAGTAATCAATAAAGGAGCACAAAGCAAGTAGCTTAAGGATGTCCCTAACAATGATACGGCCAAAGCTAGACATTTCCTGCTTCCCCTGTTTCAAATTAGTGAATAGATTGCTGCAGTCCGTTTCTAGTATATTTGTTATGGACATAAGTTGTCAAAAAAATATATAACATGAAACATCAACGTTTGGAACAATGGTGAATTAAAACCCTTAGAGAATAGTTTTGAGACTCCAATGATTTTTTTATTGAGACTTTAGATACGAAGCAATAAAAATTAGGTTTAGAGTTTTTCAATCCTAAGTGAACACCACTTTGAGAAATATTTTAAAGTAAACACTATATTAATAATTTCTTTATTTTTAAATACCAATATAGCAAATCATTCTGTCGTGCATGGCACGGAACCTAATATTGATTTCAATATAAAATCCAAGTATTACCAATTTACCAAGCATACTCAGCTCGTTTCAATCACTATTGACCACAATTCCCGCAGTCATCTAATATCCACTCAAAGATTCACCTTGCTTAGCATTTTTTACATTTGAATTAAAATAGCTAATTAAGTGTACGTATTAACTCACTTTTGAACATACTAAAATAAAATTAAAAAAGAATAATTTAGAATAGAGAGCAAGTAGTATGCTAGTGCTCATTAGCGGATCCAGAAAAAATATTTTTCAGGGGTCAAAACACATTTGATAATGGGTCATTTGATAAAAATATAAGTAATTTTTAAAGAGAAAATAATTATTTAATTTTATAGGAATTTTTTTTCATGTTTAAGTGGGCTGAAGGGACCCCACTTTATTAGATGTGCATCAGCCACAGCTAATACTTGTTTATTCATCTTACTCAAGTAATGATGTTTAAGTTAGTATTAGTTCTTATATGAAGTAGAAATATCATTATAATAAAATAATTTTAACCAAGAAATGCACTCCATACTCCATAGACAAATAAATATGAAAACATTTATATATTAATTAAATAATATGTAATTTACTACGAAGTATATTATTTGGCAAGAAATAAAGAGCGACAAAATAATGAATGATATGTTTTATAATCGAATTAAAGTTCGTAAGATAATGATTAAAATTAAAGATTGTCGACAATATATATAGGATTCATATATTTTTTCCTATATACAGAGTATGAAAAAGATACACAAAATATAAATTAACAATAATAATTCATTCTTATGTACACTAAATAAAATAAAAATATTAAAGAATCAATGGAGAACTATTTTACCAAAAGTAATATTATAAAAGATATTCTTAACTTATACAATACATATAAGATAAGCAAATTATAGAGGGACATGTGTCGGCCTCACATTGATTTGCTTGTTTTTTAGTATAATATATTGACGGTTGATGATGATATTATTATTTAGAGATAGGATTAATGGAAATTAAAGGGACCATAAAGTAAGGATATAAAAATTTGAGCCAGCATATTCAACATTCAATCAGAGAGTGAGGGATATCTCAAGTGGTTAGAACTCCCCTCCTGATTTCAGGTGATTCTGGGATCGATTTTCATTAGTCGCCCTTGTGGCTCTCTAAATACCAAAAATATTCAACATTCAATCAAAAGTAGTGAGAAAAAAGGACAAAAATGTTGACTCGAATAAATGGAAAATTATGTTGTTTGTAAACATAAAGGATGATTCTTGATCCACCACTTGCTTCCATTGCTCTTAATTAAGAAGTATTATTTAATTAATTAAACTATTTGATTTGATTGTATGTTCAATTAGCTTTCAATTTATAGCCTGATTAATCTTCTTAATTTAGAAATGTCAAGATATTTCTAGTTGTGTAACCGAAATAAAATCATAGGTTGATATTATTTTCATGAAAAGAGATATAGCAAATCTCAAAAAGAACTCTATACATAAGAGTTTGCTAATTATAGTTTATCAATTAATAAATCTATCCATCTATACTTTACCAATCCTATAACTTGTTTGAAATATTAGAAACTCACAACTAAACATATTTTACCAATTCAAAGCCTAATAAATTCAATAATCTGTTTCAAAGCATTAAGGAAAAAGGTCCAAGTAACTCAAATGTTTCAAAGCAACAAGGGAAGAACTCACTTTACCTTGCAAACAATGATTTTCTCTACAAGAAATCAACAGCCTGCTATAGCTAACCCCACAAAGGTCTAAGCTAGCTTGATTACATGGTTAGTTTGATTGCTACAACAGATGTCACGCACTCACGCCATTGACAATAGTTTTTTGTTATTTCCTTCGTTTTATAATGATTTTCAATTTTGACTGTGCATGTATGCATTAATGTATTACGAAGCATTTGTTATGTTACTACTATGCTTTATATATCGAGAGTAATTTAGACAATTCTCTTATTTTGTGTATAGTGCAAAGATTTCAAGTTAGGCTAGTTTGCTCTGCTATACATATTATAAAGAATCCAAAATTTATAATGACTTCATGTACGAAATATATTGAGATTGTTTGTCACTTTGAACATGGAATTGTTTAGAATGGACTCATTGCACCTTCATTCCATATGTTCCTACTATTGTTCAATTAATTCCCATGCTCGAATTTGACAGGATATTGGGAGTAAAGCTAAGTAACTTTTACTATCGTAGTTAGCTTATGGGTAGCTCTACGCATTTTTTTTTTTTTTTTTTTTGACATAAACTAGTATCACACACATCATAAAACGAGTAATCACGCGTAAAATAATACTTCGTAGTTCCTTTTCTCTTTTGTCATCGGTTACTTCTAATGGCAATATCCAATTCCTGGGAAAACCCACTTGCAGTAACCAGAACAACACTCATTATTTAAAACGCAGCCGCTTACATCAGAAGCCCCACACGCTTGACTGGGTACTGCTGCAGTATATGATCAAATTAGAATATTAGATACGGAGTAGTAATTAATTTAAAACAACAGTTATCAACTTATATGTTGTCAATTTTTTTTATTAATTGCATAAACTTTTGTAACATCTTATTTGAGTAATCCCAACTAATAGATTAATTAATAGAATAACTACCTAACACCTTACTAATCTTAGCTTGTTTAGATTATACGGAGTATTGTAAATAAAAGCTTTATTAAGGAGTACTTTATAATTACCTCACATAATCAGCACCAGAAATACTAAGAGCAAAGCCAACTTAGAGATTACAGAAATTGAATGATTCTCCATAGATTTATTTTATTTTTATTATTTTTATTGACGGGGTGAGAGATTGGAACGCTCAATGTCCTTATTTATACTACTTCCTTTGCCCTCAATACCCTTTTAGGAGTGTACCAATTTACTTGTACCATCTTTTAAGAATTTTGAAAAAAAAAATGGTTAGTAAGAAAAAACGGTCATATTGGTTCAGAACCTTTAATAGATCAACCTAGTCCGAGTTAACGAGCTCCATTTTGAAAGTGGGGGTAGGATAAGGGGATCATTAATCTCAAAGTGCCCCTAGTACGAATCAAACTCCCAAACTTAAGGTTAGAAGGTTTCTTCCTTACCACTAGGTCAACACTTTATTGGTTTTTAGGGCTAAAAATTACTAGTATGGTTTAGATTTTACATGTTCTTGTAGCTTATTGAGCCCATGCATCTACTTTAGATTGTACATTTCTACACCGATTGAAATTCCGTTCTTAGGCGGCCAGCCTACATAATGTTGGCTTATAGACTCATAGTACATCACATGCCTCGTATACTAAGTATACACTCTTACAAAGTCATAAAAGTCAACGAGTCAAAGTCATATCACATGCCATGTAATTGCCCGTTGTTGAGTGGGGATGTGAATCAATGAGTTTGGGAGGTAAGTTAGGTTTGTGATTTGGGAATTTCCGTGGACAACGAATATGAAATGTTTTTGTGGCGAGTTGGTGCAATAATTGAAATGGGTTTTCTCTTAGCCCTTGTTTGGCATGATGATTATGTAGTATAAAAAGATATTTATATTCAGGATTGGTTTATGTACCATGTTAGAGAGCAATCCAACCAAAATTTTAATCTAATGGTAGAAGTCATGACTAGTTTTTCTATCAAAAATAACATCAAAAAATTACCCAATGCGTTTTGCTCTGTATCTGAAAAGACAAGTTGTAACAGACTTATGCACTATTCATATACAACAAAAGTTCCAAAAGTACCGAGTAACAAATCACTAGAGACTAGTTACAATAAGACTCCTCTGTTCCACAATGTTGGTTACATGCATTTGCTATCTTTAGTGTTTTCGTTATGGTTTAATTATTGCCTAAATTAAATAATTTTTTCTTACATATTTGCCCTCATATATCTATACATTCCAATGCAAATATACCCATTTATCAAAATAAATACTTGCAAAAATATTTCCATGTTACCTATACTAAAGCATTTCCTTGACAAAGGTGTAAACACGGCAAACTTAACTAACATTGTAGAACAGAGGGTGTATAAATTAGGAAAATAAGATAAGAATTTAGGAAAAGATAGACTTGTATTTGATTAATATTATTTGAAAGAATTACGGGGTGTATGGAAAATAAATGAAGTAACCACAAACTCAATAATCTTTCAAGTTTTTAGCAACATAGATTCGTATATGTGGCTGGCCACACCGTGTGGTTAGTCATTATAGAGGTTACTTCATCATTGGTCAGTGTTATAGGGTTACTCGGTCAGTGTTACAGGGGTTACTCGGTCAGTATTACAGGGGTTATTTGTTGAGTGTTATAAGGGTTACTTTATTCTTTATAATAAGAGATGTCTCACACCATCCGTATAATCTGCAAGGAGGTCGTGGCAGAAGGGTAAGTGCCATAACCCAACTGCAGATAGACACTGCTGTCTCCAATACGAGTAGAAGAATAAAAATGGTGTGATAAAGAAAATTCATTGTATCAATCATATATAGGACTGCTTATTTGAGACCTAAAAATAAATCCTCACTAATTTATACGGAGCATATTAAAAAGACTAGTAAAAACAGAATATTATAGAGTAATCCTAGTACTACCTTAAAATATACCCCGTATTACCTTAATTTCATAAGAAATTCACCAGTAAGCGTCGTAACTATTAAGAGCAGCAAGTTCATCCTCTGAAGGATGAAAAGCATCATACCAAAAATAATCACTAACATCTCCATCACCATGACCAAAACCTTCATTAAATTTAGTACCACCATCATCATCATCACTATACCAAGTAAAAACCGGCCTAGCATTAACTACAACAGCACCATAATCGTCGTCACTAAACCAAGTAATATTAGGTCTAGCCTCAACAACAACGGCACCATCATTGTCATCACTATACCACGTAAACTCGGGTTTATTATCAGAATTAATACCATTGCTCCGAGCTCCATCATTATCGTCATTGTTGTTGTTACGTTTGGGATAACCCCAAAAGCTTCAGTAGCAAGTGCAAAAGAGATAAAAGCATCAACACAAGCATATTGAACTTGATCATTAGTTAACCAAAATTGTTCACAATCACTCAACCCTGACTTTTTAGGTTTGACAACATCAACAGCACCCATAAAATAAGAAGCCATCTTTTCCATAGACCAATATTTTCTATCCATCCCTTGTTACGCAGGGTGGCGGGTGGCGAGGCGGGGTAACATAGCTGGAAGATGAGGCAGTTGTAGGCTATGCAGAGTTGGAGGGTGGCTGCTGAAGCGGAGGTGCCCTTGGTGCGGGGATGGTTCCATTGGACACCGAGGCCGACAACGAGGAGATGGAGCGTTTGTAGTCGCGGCGGATGTTGTAAATCCATTGGGGGTGGAGGTGACGATGGTGTGGATTGGAGATCTAAAGAAGCTACGGCGTCGAGAGACGTAGTTTTGATGATTCATGTTTCACTAGTTTGTGCGATGCTTTGTGACTTTGCGTGCTTTTCTTTGGGGTTTTTAGGGCTAGGGCTTAGGAAAACTACGTACTCATTCGGCTGTGTGAGAGAGACTTATTTTTGGTTATTTCAAAATTAATTAATAAATGATACATCTTAGTATGATGGCTAGCATAGGTTGAAGCTTTTTTTTTGACAGGATAATAATTAAATTAGTTAACAATGTTTTTAAATTCTCTAACCTAGAGGTCATATGTTAGGGTCATGTCGAGTTTAAGATACGAGCAGAGCTTGTCAGCTTGACTTAATTTTATTATTAACTTATTAAACTAGGTAGTAAGGACTAAGGAGTATATATGTTAAACTCAAAACCGAAATTTTTAAGAATAAAATCCAACACACTTACAGTTTTAGTAAAACAATGTTTCAATGAATATACTCATTTTAATATTTATAGTATTGTTTTTATCTTAATTTCAAAGGTAAAAATATAGTTTAATTAATTCCACCTTTATCAAGTGTTAACCATACTTGTTAAATCTTGTGTATTCGTTTTTATTTTATTTTATTCACTTGTTATTGGGAAAATACATCACTTCATACAATTATTCAATTAGTACTTCATTCATCTCTTAAATTTTCTTTTATTTTAAACCTTTTTTTCAAAGACAATCACCTTCCAAATATTTTTTACTCCATGTCATTTTTGACACACAGGCATTTTACCATTTGACCTTTATATTTAATTTAACCATTTTTTCACACTATCTCTTACACTATCTACTTGCTCTTTCTTAATTCTCACATTTTTTGTACACCAACCTTACATGCTACCAAAAAAAAAATATAAAGCATATATACGACTTTAATTTATTGCAAGTTGACGAGAAAAAAGTGACAAAAAGTGGATGAATCTTAATATAATAAACAAAATATGCACTAAGGGTGCATTCTATTCACCATTTTTTTTAATTTTATTTATATGACCTTGTTTGGTCTAATCTAAATTTATTTGAGCTTATCAAAACTTGTTAGACCTTATTAGAATTTTTTTAATTGTAAATTGAACTTAATTAGCTGTATCATAATTTATTTATAAGGTAAACAAAACATGCCCTTAACTGAGAATTGTCCATAATCTATAAAGGGTATACAATGCATTTTTAAGGCATCTCGTAAATTCTTTAAAATCAACAAGGGTATACAATAAAAGAGCCCTTTTCCTAAATAATGTTGTCTTTTTTTTTATCTAATTCCCAAAATACAGTCATTCTTTTATAATTTCCCACAATACTGTCCACGTCATTGGTTTAGTATAGTTTTTTTTTTTTTTTTTTTTAGGTTTTATTGCAAAACCGCTACTTGAAGTAGCGGTTTATCATTTAATAAGCCGCTACTTGAAATATCGGTTTGAACTGATAAATAAAAAAAAGTGTTTCTCTCTTCTCTCTCTTAATCTTGATCCACAGAGAACAAACTTCAAGATTTTCGAAGAGAACACCTCAACACCTGCCATTGCTAGGAGATGCGTCCGCCGCTGACGAACCTCCACCGCCACAGTATTATGCCTAATTACTTTATCTATTTCAATTCAATTATTAAATTTGTCAAATAATAATTTTGGTGATTGTAAGTTTAATGGATGAAATTGAAAGTGGGTGTTTTTCAATGATTACTTAGGGTTGAAATGTTGGATCGATTTCAGATTTTCATTGGATTTATTTGGAAGATTTACTTTGGATGAAGAGGATAATGGAGTTGAGAAATGCAAATGGTGAATTTCGATGTTCAAGCCTATGTGTGGGAGATATTTTTTTTATTTTTTATTTAAAAAAAAACATTTTAGATGAAAACCGCCTCTTCATGTAGCGATTTTCATCTTTAACATTTCAGATGGAAACCGCTACTTCATTTGAACCGTATGTTTGCACATTTTAGAACAGTATTGTGGAAATGTTTAAAAGAGTGGCCGTATTTTGAAAATTAGATTAAAAGACAACATTATTTAGGGAAAAAGCTCACAATAAAATATCCAACTTAAAAAAAGTACTGCTTTACAATTTGTCGGGCACTCTCATCACATCAGGTCATCAATCGCACATATTCACCCTTCGCAACACACACTCTTCCTCTTCCGCACATCCTCTCTTTCTCCGGCGAACCAACCTTCCTAGGGTTAGGGTTTCGATTCTCCAATGATGGAAAGGCACAGAGGTGACCGTGATCGTGACCGCGACCGAGATTACCGTGACCGTGACCGAGACCGCAATTTCCATCACCAACAACGCCGGCCTTCTCGATTTTCCGATGGTCCTCCGGTGGACCACAACCGTAGTCCTGGAAATTACCGCGGCGGCGGCTTCGCTGGTGCCCGCTGCGGGTTCGAAAGCCCTCCTCGCCAATTACCCCCTGTTGGCGATAACGGAGGTTTTCGTCATCCTCCTGTTGGTGGGCCTCCCGGAGGGTACTGGCCTATGGGCGGAGATGTCGGAGGTCCCGAAGGTGGTTTCGGGAGCGACTTACCGGTTCCGCCTCGACCGATGCCGCAACAACCTCCTCCTCCTATTGCTGGGCAGAA